AAAAGCAAATGTGAAATTTAGGTCTCAATATACCTAAACCCCAGCCCGTCACGTGAATGATTCCTCCGGTCGTGTGTGTGTGTGTGTTGAGGACAGTGAATCCCACAATCCTCCATCACATTTGTGCATGGCAGTGAATAGCATCATGATGACGTTACGCATGACGATCTCAACCTGGTGGATGTAGCATCTCCGTACTCACTACATAGTTTGTTATACATACTCTCATGTTAACAAATGTTCTAATAATGTTTTGCTAACATTTCCATTAAGTTATGAAAATTTCTATTTCCCCTTGTAGCATCATTTATTCTTCAAAAACTCAATTTTGATCATCAAAATAAAATTGTAAAGTTGTTCATGCCTTAAAATAGCTTGAATGTAATTCGACACCCTTACCTCATTTAGTATGTGCTGTTCTATGAATATGCAGATGAGCCCCGCCTCCACTCCACTGGTTGACGATCACACGTTGATCTGATTGGTTACAACCAGGCAGCCCTGCTGTACATGCATGCTATGATTTTTTCGCATATTTCATACTGCATGACAGTTTGGGCTCAAGCAGCTCCTACTGCAATAAAACACATTGGTTCACTTTACAATCAAACAATAAAAATTATGGATAAAAAGCCAATCCGTTACCATCACTGTTACATCCTCAAGAAATATAATATATTAAGCTTTGAAAGCTTCAGTAATTTATGTTTTTTAAAATTAATTTTCAAGTGCATTAATAATTTAGCATCCGAGCCGCTTAGTAAATTTGTTCAAGTACAGAACAGCAAAAGAGCTACCAGAAGCAGCACAATACCATACTGTAGGACAAGCTTTGCACAGACAGCCTTTTCTGTTAAGAGCGCTAGACTCTGGAATTCATTACCATCGGACATTAAGGTCATATCTGACTTGAAAAAGTTCACTTCAACGATTAAATTGTGGCTAAAGGCAAACCAAAAAAACTGTAACCATTTTTAACAATTGTTACTTTTCTGGTTGTGTGTGTGTGTGTGTTTGTGTTTGAAGAAATGGGATTGTTTTATATTTGTATGTATTTTTTTTTTTTTATAATGTATTTAGAAATGCCCAACCAGGGACAGGAGTTGTAAATTAGCATTAGCTATAAACTCTATATGCTGCGCATCAGTTACAGGCTCTGTATTGTGACTATGTTTGACTGTATGGTCCCTGTTAAATAAATAAATAAATAAAAAATACAAGGTCGTCAGAAACACCAGCGATTTCAAACCGCGTGTGTTTGAGACTGTCTTTGGTTCACTGCAGTCAGAGGAAATACTGTCCACTTATCAACTTACACACAGTGTGTCTTAAAGCGTATTAAAAACACCACATACACACATAAACAACATTAAAAGCTGGATTTTTACCACAGGGGGAGTCATTTCGCAGACATTATGGAAATGTTATTTTTAAATGATCTGTATGTTTAAGAAGTAGGCGTTTAAATGTAAGATAAAAATCCAACTAAACATTTGAGGAAAACAAAGCTCCATTAATGTATAAATAAGTTCATATTTTTAGGACATTAAGGCCAGATAACTGAAATAAAACGGTCTAATTAACGTTAGTGGAAGAACGTTTCCTGGTAGGTGTTTTTACTATCAGTATTTTGGACAAAGCAAAGTTTTTTATTTTCACTTTAACCATTAACACATAACACATATGTTGCAGAAATGACACCTAAGGCAGTTGATGCTTAATTATTAATTAGTCAATATTATGACTGTGTCACTACCACACCAGGCATGATTGTCTTCAAAAACCTCTAAAAACATTTAAATGTGTTATTTTAAATACACAACACAATGATAATACCACATGAGACAAAAATCCATGTTTGTGTTTTCTGCCGTTCTCATTAATATTGTGTATCGGTCTGGTAACTGATCTGAGATCAGCAATGAATACAAACGTGCTTCTGTTTTGACTGGCCTGTATATGCCCTCACACATGGCTTCAGAAGCTCGTGCTGAACAAACAGCTCTGATGATGGTAATGGAAACGTGTGATTGTGTTCTGAAGTGAACTGAATAAATAATGTTCTCCAGTGCACCATGTGTTCCTCCACTCTCAGCTCGGCCCAAACACAGCCATCAGTCAAAACACAACTCAACATTTCTCACATTATCACAGTTTATTCGCTATAGTTTAGCTAATGCTAATAAATGTATTATTAATGGTATTTATAATGGTAAATGTTGTCACACCTCACTTACATAAATGAACTATAGAGTTCTGCACACACTGGTAAAACTAGTGATATCTGGTGTCTGAATAATGCTCGGTTTGAGTGTTTATGAACCTCACCGTGGGCCACTTCTCAGGAAGGGCCGTTGTTGTTGACACACAAAAGGCAAATTACAGGCAAATGAAACAAAACGAGTACATGTCTCAGCTTTAGGCTTGAATTGGGAATCTTCTGATAGGCTCTGCTCTTTGTACAACAATGACATCAGCAAAGGTATATTCTGACTGGAAGATTCCTAAACAGGCGTGTCTGAGATCGAAACCATTTAAAAGGGATAGTTCACCCCAAAATGAAAATGATCCGATGATTTCCTCTCCCTCAAGCCATCCTAGGTGTGCGAGACTTTCTTCTTTCAGACGAACACAATCAGAGTTATATTAAAACATGTCCTGGCTCTTTTGATGGCAGTGAATGGTACCTTAGTTTCTGAAGCCCAGAAAAGTGCATCCATCCTTCATCATAACAGTAATCCATACTTCTCCAGGGGGTCAATAAAGGCATTATGAAACAAAGCTTTGTGTTTGTGTAAGAAAAATTAAAAAAATTACAAAAACTAAAATCTAATGAACTATAATAATAAGAGTTTGTTGCCCAGCTGTGTTTGTTTAAACCGCGAGAGGGGTCGACTCTCACCTGAGCTTACGCTACTCCTAGATCATGTGTCAGGTCAGAGGTCACTCGTCATGCGTCGGGTCAGGGGTCACTCATCAGGCGTCGGGTCAGAGGTCAGGCGTCATGTGCCGGGTCAGGCGTCATGCGTCGGATCAGAGATCCGGTGTCATGCGTCGGGTCAGAGGTCAGGCGTCGGGTCAGAGGTCACTCATTAGGTGTCGGGTAAGAGGTCGGGCGTCATGCGTCGGGTCAGAGGTCAGGCATCTTGTGTCAGGTCATAGGTCACTCGTCATGCGTCGGGTCACAGGTCACCCGCTATACTTCGGGTCAAAGGTCATCTGCTATACTTCATGTCAAAGGTCACTCGTCAGGCATATGGTCAGAGGTCACTCGTCATACGTTGGGTCAGAAGTCACTCATATGTTGGGTCAAAGGTCACTCATCAGGCGCCGGGTCAGAGATCATTCATCAAATGTCGGGTTAGAGGTCACTCATCATGCGCCAGGTCATAGGTCACTCATCATGCGTCGGGTCAGACGTTTTCAGGCATAATGGCGTCAGGTCATAGGTCACTCGTCATGCTTCGGGTCACAGGTCTTCCGCAATACTTCGGGTCAAAGGTCATCTGCTATACTTCGGGTCAAAGGTCATCAGCTATACTTCAGGTCAAAGGTCACTCGTCAGGCGTTGGGTCAGAGGTAAATCATCATACGTTGGGTCAGAAGTCACTCATATGTTGGGTCAAAGGTCACTCATCAGGCGACGGGTCAGAGATCATTCATCAAATGTCGGGTTAGAGGTCACTCATCATGCGTCAGGTCATAGGTCACTCATCATGCGTCGGGTCAGAGGTCGTCAGGCATCATGCGTCGGGTCATAGGTCACTTGTCATGCGTCGGGTCACAGGTCATCCACTATACTTCGGGTCAAAGGTCATCTGCTATACTTCGGATCAATTCTCATCTGCTATACTTCAGGTCAAAGGTCAGGCGTCGGGTCAGAGGTCACTCATCATACGTTGGATCAGAAGTCACTCATATGTTGGGTCAAAGGTCACTCATCAGGCGCCGGGTCAGAGATCATTTATCAAATGTCGGGTTAGAGGTCACTCATCATGCATCAGGTCATAGGTCACTCACCATGCATCGAGTCAGAGGTCGACGCATCATACGTTGGGTCACAGGTCACATCATACGTTGGGTCAGGGGTCACTCAGGTGTCGGGTTAAAGGTCACTCATAATACAGCGGGTCAGAGGTCACTCATCATACCATTGCCATTGAATATAGCTTATAAAGTGATAAATATAGATATTTTTACTACAAAAACACAAGGCTTGGCTTCAAAGGGCCTTTATTAACCCTCTGGAGGCATGGATTATTGTTATGATGGATGGATCGCTTTTTGGGGTTTCAAAATATAAAGAATTATTAACTCAGAATATAAAGCTTGGAAGAACCACTGTTTAATATAATATAACTCTGATTGTGTTCGCCTGAAAAAAGAAAGTCACCTAGAATGGCTCAAGGGTGAGCTAAATCATGGGATAGATTTCATTTTTGGGTGAACTATCACTTTAAGTGACCATTTTGTCTCTGCAGAGTACAGCCTGCAATTATTTTCTAAAATGTATCTCATTTATAATTATAACAGTAGCCTGCTGACAGAACATTGCTTTATTTAGAAGTTATTTTTCACATCAACCTGACTGAAATAGATATCAGGTGCGATTATGAAAACCAAGTTAATTAAATTAATACACATCAGCTGAGATGCGAGTTAAATCACTGGGGATCGATGCCCTGTGCAACAGTATATAAACATGATTTAATCTCTGAGGAACTGACTGAAGTTCACTGTCTAATTTAAAATATTGAATCGTTTTTTTTTAGAGCAGCACAACATGAGTCTCGACTCCGCTGCATTTTCTCGTACAAATCATTAATAATAATGAGTCAAGCCTTCACCACAATAAACGGTAACAATGTTTGCATTTCAGCCAATCAGGTGGGTAAGCGTGACATAACGTGGTTAATATTCATTAGACGAGTCTTCGGCACGTCAGGATTGGTCATGTCGCCGCTCAGGAGGCGGAGCTTCATGACTCTGATTATTCATGTTGTCAGGGGAGAGTCGAGTGGCCGCAGTTCGTCCGAAGAAGTTATACCGAAACTTCCCTAATAATGTGGCACTGAAGATGAGTCGACAGCAGGACGAGCAGGGTGTCGTGTTAACCGCTTACACCAGCAACACTGAAGCCGTGCTGAGAGCAAAGGAAGAGCAAACGGACTTTCTAGGAGCGAGGTGAGGGATCGCACGAACGCATTCATTTATTACTCAGAGCAGTGTGCACTATTTATGGCAACTGTATCCTAGGGCTGTGTCTCAAACCGAGTGAGGTGGGCGTCACATACCTGCGCCACCATGCTGCCTAACTAGGCATTACACAGCCCTAGTGTTCAGCTCTGAAGATGGACAGATCCTGTGGAGGTTTTGTGCAAGTTTAAGCAGCTGCTGCCTGGTAACCTAATATTGCTGTTGAGTTGTGTTTGTATTCGTGTGGTCAGATCTACTTCAGCTTTTGAGGGATTGTGTGGGCTAGTATTTGGGAGCTTGTTCTGTATATTGCTTAAAAGGTAGAGTAGGCGATGTGTACCAGATTTTTGTTGTTGCTGTTATGCTGGTTGAAAGTCTTAAAATCATGACAGCAAAATCACTAAGTTTAGTGGTCTAAGTCAGTAAGTGTGTGTGTATATGAAAGGCGTAGGACCATTAATGTTCGTCCAATCATTGGATTCGGTCCGAATGCAGTGATAGGATGTCCTGCCTGTGAACGTATGCATGTTCATACCTCCACGCACCTGCCCGTGCAAACATCAGCGCCATCAGTGTGTTTCATGCTATGCAGAGTTAGGGCCGTTCATTATTATTGTAATGTAATGTGCTTTGAGACATGAGGTAGTTTAAAGGCACAATATGATTAAAATATCCCAAAACCACTAGAACAGTGTTGATTTGTGTTCTTAAAGGAGTAGTTCATTTTTGAAAAAACTTTTGCTGATAATTTACTCACCCCCGTGTCATCCAAGATGTCCATGTCTTTCTTTCCTCAGTCGAAAAGAAATTAAGATTTTTGATGAAAACATTCCAGAAGACAAATAATAACAGTTTCAGATGCAGCTTCAAATGTCTTTAAACGACACCAGACGATGAATAACGATCGATTATTTCAAAACTTATTCCAAAAATGTAACTTTTCTAAGGACAAATGCTAGCCTTGCTCTATTCTGTGAGGCGCGTTTGTAACGTCACGTAATACGTAATTACGTTCAATAGGTCACGGGCGACGTAGCCGGAAGTACTGAATCAAAATCGTCCGACATCGTTGTTTTACCTTTTAATTACTTTTTTTGTAAACAGCGTTTGAGTTGGTTTGCACATTCAACCTATGCGTTCAACTTGTAAACACTGACTCTGTACTTCCGGCTACGTCGCCCGTGACCTTTTGAACGTAATTACGTATTACGTGACGTTACAAAGTTTAAGTTTGACAAAGTGGCAAAACGGTGAAATCGCTGAAAGTGGGCGAGTTGTTTACTTAATTTTTGATTAGTCTTAATTTAACTTATCAGGCTGGATTTATCACATGACTCTAATCACTCTAATCTTAGAGTTTATTAACTTAAAAATCTCTAAACTGATTATTATTTTGTTTCTGTTGACTTATTAGGGTTTACTTTACTGTGTTCAAAGACTAAACTTCAGCAGTTCATGTTATTCTAGTGTGTGATGTCATGGATGTATTATAACGTCTGCTTCAATGACCAACGATCACTTGTTCTTTATAATTGAATATTGGCATTGAAAATCCCACACCAGTTGACCATTAAAGTCGGCATGAAACGGGAGTTGCGATAATCTTCTCTATTGTGTCGTATATCCGTGTCAATCGCTTCAGGAACAAGAACAAATGTGGGCGGGGCTTGATTGTGTCTGTGGGGAACTGATTGGATGGTTGTGGTTTGCTATTGGTGGATCTGGTGTGATTGACAGATTGCCCCGCCCTCGTCATCAGAGAAGAGAAGAGATGCTGCAAGAGGATTATTCTGATTCAAGATTACCAGGAACAGATATTTAAATTGATAATGTTGTGCACTGATAAATCATTTATAATAAACACTGCAAAATAAGTCAGTTTTGATTTCTTGGTGCCTTTAACAGAGCCTCTCTAAAGTAAAGTCCACTCTGTGTATGTGTGTGTGTGTGTGTGTGCTCCTGACGGGTGGTGAAACGGGATGCTGGCTGTTATGTGTGTGTGTGTCCTCAGATGTACAGGTGTGTTCCTCGATCAGCAGCTGCGAGCCCAACTCCCTCTGGGATCCTGTCGGCCGGAGCACAGCGGCCTGGGGAGAAGGTTTCTGTGTTCCTCGTGTGTGTGTGTGTGTGTGTGTGTGTGTGTGTGTGTGTGTGTGTGGCTCTGCCAACTGGCCTTTGGGTGTTTGCTCGAGCATCTGCTTTTTGCTGGTTGTTTGCAGACGGGCCTGCTGTTTAGATTGAGCATGAAAGCATGTTTAAGAAACGTTTCTATATTTGGATCTGTGTCGGAGAATAATCCACCAGAAAGAAAGGTCAGTCATATTCCAGCTCAAAATAAAATGAAAAAAATTATATTTTAACTATTTAAACTTCCACTTTTATCTTGTAATTTATTTCCCTATCAAAATGTCATTGATTTATTTCATTTAATGCATCATTCTGCTGCGCTCGCTTATGTTAAACGTGCTCTTTTGTATTTTTTGACCGTACCAAAGCATAAAAATACCCAGACTGATCTCATGAAGTAGCGTGTGTATGACACGCCAATTCGTATTTCCATTTTTGGCGTGGTATCAAGATCGCTTTTCAGCGTGTTTATGAACGCCGTTGACTTCACGTTATATAAATATATGACTTACCTCAACCCCGTCCCTAAACCTACCCGTCACTGGGGTTAATGGCATTTACGAGTCTTCCCTTACCATCCTAGGAAAAAAAAAGATCGCTCCCCAGATGTAGATCTACATTTTGCTTTGTTTCGCGCGGACATTTGACGGCGCGTACAGACACGTGAAATCACTCGGACGGTAATGGCGTAGACATACACGCATACACGCGGATAGCTCAAAATGCGTAGAGATAACACGCCACTTGACTCGAAAGTGGCGTGTTTGTTTACGCAAAAGTCATGATGTCATGTTGGGAAAACCGAACCGTCAGTTTCGTGTATCGTTGCACCCCTACATAATATATGCAGATATTAAAGGAGAACTCCGGCGCTAAATGAACCGTTGGTCTAAGAAAACATCGGTACCTAGTCGACCGTTCTCTGAGATTTGATTTCATGATAATCGAATGTAAAGAGTTTAATCTCTTAAAACTGTTTAGCGTATAATGCTAGTATATGTGGGCATAGAGTAATGGAAAATAAAAATCGCTAGTTTATACCACTAACAAGGCTCAAAATAGCCCCACACTAACACTATAACATAATGAGGGTCCATGCATGCAAACTAGGGGTGGCACGGTACATGAAAAAACACCCGAACCGTTCGGTTCGCTTGTCTTGGTTCGGAGCGTGTGTGCGTCTCACGGTTCAACGACGCATGCGCAATGTAGTCTCGTGCCCGTATGCGACGTGTGTTTTCTTTTCGCGCGACATAAGCTTGTTCGACTTGGACCGGCGCTGCACAGAGCGACCGGTGAATAACATCAAACTAGTGCGAGAGCGACGGCTCCGTATGTTTTTCAATCACTTTCGCGGTATTTGATGTCATTACCGATCGCTCTGTGCAGCGCCGGTTCAAGTTAGTAAACAAGCCAGTAAAAGTGGAGTATGGAGCGCTGCAGGTCACGGCACGCGGAGAAATGGCAAGTGGGAGAGATGAGGGAGTTGGAGGACACGCCAGCGTCGTATAAGTCTATGGTATAAGTCCGGTGTGTGGGAACATTTTGGATTTCATGTTATGATATTTTAATATAACGCTACAGTGGCACTTTATGTTTAGATACGAGCTTCAGTCATACGTTTCCAAATCCTGCACTTTAATTTTAAGTGGGACTCTCTGGGAATAGAAGCATTGTGTTGATACTGTCTTTTGTGTTGAGGTTGAACTTATGTTTCACTTTATGTTTATGGCCTTTGCTATTGCTATAGCTAATTATAGGCAATGAGGTTTCATGTATATTGAATTATTCATAAAAGACAGTGTTTTAAGAGTTCCTCTTTTTTTCTTTTAAAAGATATAATTTTTGTAAGAGCAACAAAAGTTGGCAGTTGATAAATGCAAGTTAATTTCTTTGTGTAAATAAGATTTGTGTGATAAAAATGCTCAAGTTCTTGTAGAGATAGTGATACACATTCTAATTTTTTTTGCCAAATTAACGAAAAGCATGTCAAACTCTTCTCTCTTGCTGTGTCAAAATCTAAGCTATATATCACATGCTGAAGTACATTTCTGGAGTGTTAAAGATTAAAAGAAAAAATAACAAGAACCGTACAGAACCGAAAACCGTGACCCTAAAACCGTGATACAAACCGAACCGTCGGTTTCGTGAACCGTGCCACCCCTAATGCAAACCGAAACATTGAAGACTTTGTAAGTGTACAGACCGTTTAATAAGAAGATACAGTTCACTTCGTGTGTACAGGCAGGAGCCATCTTGGAAAACAGTCTTTTTGATTTAATTATTAAAATGTACATAAACCTTTCAAATGGAATCTGGAAATTTTTTAACGGAAAACACTGAATTTGGAAAGCCACTGGTGTGTGTGTGTACACTCATAATGGGGCTGAAGTTAGGCATCTCTGTGATGATGGGAAGTATCTGTATGGATCACAGGAGTATCTCCGTGAGGAGCATGGAAGGGTGTGTGTTGGTTTTGTGTTGTTGTGTTTGATGGTTTAACCGGTATTGACATGCTAAACATCGCTTGACTTTCCATCCTGTGTGGCTGTAGCATTGCATAATGAATATTTCATTCACAGTGCGCTGCGTGCTTTGTGTGGGATGTCTGTGATGGGCGTTGGATGTTCAGATGTCTCTTTCTCCACACACACACACACACACACACAAACTGTACAGAATCAACAAGCGCTATCGTAGCCTGGCCTTTACCGCTGCACCACAGTGTCTGGTTTGAGAAGTTCACTTCAACACAAAACTTAATTAAATCCAATAAAACATATAATTAAACAAACAATACATTGATGAAAGTGGAATAACAAAAACAAAATAAATGCATAACATCAAAAGTTCAACAATTAAATAGAAAAATTGAATAATTTCAAAATAATCAGATAAAAGCGACCCTAAAAAATAAGCCTTAAAGGACGATCTCGTTGATCTCTCATCCATTCTCCCTGCGGGAAGCAAAGGAACAGAAGTAGGACTTGTACACTCTCAGACGGCTACGAGAGATAGTTTAACACTGAGTTGATCTGATTGACCTTTACACCAATCAGGTTATAGTTAATCTACACGGCCCGCGTGCGACTGTTGCTGTGTTTCCTCCGATCCCGCTCCGACTCCTGAGCTTTTTAGCCGTTCCCATGGAGACGCCAGCGGTGAGTCCCACAGGATCGGGAAGCACAGCTCATATAATCCCCAGCCAGAAGAGGAGTGCGAGTCGCGGCACTCACACACACTGAGCCCTTCAGACTTCACTCGCGGTACATGCAGATCTGTTTAGGGTTTATTAAAGGAGAACTCCGGCGAACAATGAACCTTTGGTCTAATAAAACGTCGGTACCTAGTCAACCATTCTCTGAGTTTTGTTTTCATGATAATCGAATGTAAAGAGTTTTATCTCTAAAAACTGTTTAGCGTATAATGCTAGTAATGGGGGCATTGAGTAAGTAAAAAGAAATCGCTAGTTTATACCACTAACAAGGCTCAAAATAGCCCCACACTAACGCAGTAACATAATGAGGGTCCGTACATGCAAAACGAAGCATTGAGAACTTTGTAAGTGTACAGACCGTTTAATAAGAAGATACTTTATGAAGACAGTTCACTTCGTGTATACAGGCAGGAGCCATCTTAAAAATAGTCTCGATAAGTCAAACCGCGAACGCCGCTTATACAGTTCAGAAGTTCGTTGAACTTCATAGAGTTCAGATCACTCAGCACGTCGTTCGGGGATCGACTTATCGAGACTATTTTTTAAGATGGCTCCTGTCTGTATACGCGAAGTGAACTTTCTTCATAAAGTATCTTCTTATTAAACGGTCTGTACACTTACAAAGTTCTCAATGCTTCGTTTTGCATGTATGGACCCTCATTATGTAACTCTTTACATTCGATTATCATGAAAACAAATTTCAGAGAACGATTGACTATGTACCGATGTTTTATTAGACCAAAGGGTCATTGTTCGCCGGAGTTCTCCTTTAAGTGTGGGTTAAATAAGGCCTAGCATAAATTATAATCTTTTCTTTATAAAGACACAATGAAAATGTATTGTTACGACGATTTCTCGTTTAATGAGAAACTGGAATTTAATTAGCTTTACACACATGCATTAATATTAGTACATGCATACTAATGAATATGAACGCAAATGACCTGCTCAAAATAGATCACCAATGCAATACTAGTTTCATTGCTTTGAAAACCATAAACAGTGATTTTTAACATGTGTAGTTCTTCATTTGAGGATTATTGATACATAAAAAAAATGTAATGGAATGGAAAATGTAACTAAATGGTTTAGGATTTACTCCTGGCTAAATCTGATCTTCATTTCCCGCACCATATACGAAGTTCAAGTCAATGAAAGCAACAGACACATACTCTGTTATAGGAGAGAGCCTCAGCACTGGGAAGATCACTGCTTTTGATGAAGATGATGGTGTGTCTGATTGATGAAGAGTCTGTGTTGCAGTAGCGCTGTCATTCACCATGGCTAAATGTCCTATACCATTATAATGTCCTATAAGTGAGGCTTAAACAAAAAGAGCACCTCATGGAAAACCCAATAAAGTGGTCATTTTAACCTGCGTATGCAATATTGTAGAGTGTGTAACAATATATCGTGTCACAGTATATCCCAATACATAACTGCAACAATATATTGTGGATCGTGACACGATCTGTATTGGGTAAATTACTGTGTGAGAAAAAATTTAAATTACACAGTTTTAGTGTCAGTACTACATTAAACTACTATATATAATGTTGAACATAATGTATAATAATGCAATGGGGGAATATCAGTGTCCTGATGATAATGCCAAATGTCTGATGTTAGCAGTAAACGTGTCCTAGATTATTTTAAATACATCTAGTCTGTGACTAAAATAATTCAGTGTTTTCATCTCCAGAATCATGAATTTTGTTATTCTAGAGTCTCTATTGTCCTGTGCTTTGGAGTCATGTTCATTCACACACACAATCTAACACAAATCTAGCATTTAAATCAACCCTTTATCATATGTCTTGGAGTATCGTAATAATATCTTGAGTTCATTCTCGTGATTGAATCGTCAATCGTGACATGAGGGTTTCACTACACCCCTACAATATTGGTTTAAATTGAAAATAAAGTCAAGTCTCATATTAGCTTAGAAAAACCCAGACAACTTCCGTCAAATTCAGATTTGCTCTGAAAGTTGGTCTGGCAAAGAGCTCATTCAAGCCCATTTACAATCCGTCGATATCGCGGCACCAATCAGAAACGTTGGGGCGGGCTTTACACGATGACAACAGCGCTGGGATTTTGAAGCCTACATTACAAAGATGGACGCCATCGTCAAACATCACTCGTTCGAATCAGCCAACGCGTCTGTTTTAAGCGATTTGAACGTCTCCTTTTTGTTAAAAGCCGAGCAAAGAACAACACCGCTCTGCATACGTCATCTCCTTCATCGCTCTGATTGATTTTAGGTCTACCCGCGACGTCCGTTGGTGACGGCAATTTGTCTATCACGCTTTGCCTGACCATAACTTAGTTACAACTGAGAATGGTCTGGTTTTATCCAGGCTAGTCCCACCCTACATTTCCCTTTGAAAGGCATCACATTATGCAAGTTCAGTGTGTTTCTCCTGAAACGGATCTCCACAGTGTTACGTTTGAGCCCGATCTCCAAGCAGCCGCATTCCTCCGCCACCCTCCTGGGCATCATAGAAACAGCTTACACTCCCGCATTGCTTTCGGCCGTTCCACTCGACCCTGTGACCAGCATTACATCGCTGTTAGTGTTTTGTCTGCTTTTTATTTAGAAACATTCTGACTCTTGACCCTTTTGTCCTCTTTCTCTTTCTTTATCTGCTGTGTTTCTCTCGTTTCCATCTGACCTTTAGCATGTTGAGTCCACACTCCCCCAGTTCCCCACGACACGAACCCTTGTTAATAGCTAAACCATGAACGTCTGCATTTATGACCCGAGGAAAGGTTGTTGATTTTCCCCCTTTTCATTTGAGATCCGTGTATTTGCAATGAATGATCTAAGATGCCACTATTAGCTGCTTGTGTGTGACCGGCTGCAAATGCAAATCGCCTCAACCAACGTGACGGAGGAGGGTGATTTGTTAAAGAGTAAATGTTTGATTTGTTCTGGCTGGCTGCTGTCTTCATATTAAAAACCCTCATGAAGTCAGAAGTGTTGTTGCTTTAGGGTTGGGTATCGTTTGAATTTGAACGATTCTGATTCCGATTCCGATTCCTTGTTTCGATTCCGGTTCCTAACGATTCTCGATTTCGATTCTTTTAGAAGGCAGGGTCAAAAAAGTTTAGCTAACCTTGTTAACCAACGGTCTTTCTGAAGGAAATACTCCTTCTGTCACAAACACTTGTCACAAATTTTGCATTTTGCCGAGATTTCGTTAATTTTTAGAAAAGTGAAGCCACACTTTGGACCGCCGATGTAAGCTACTCATGTTCGACTCGCGCGGTTATGCCAAAACTTCCGGTAGACGCTTCTTCGTTGGTGTTGTTAAGCGGTTTCTTCTTCCGCTCGGCGGACTGTGAATATCGAAACTAGGAACCGAAATTTTAACTTTTGAACGATTCCGGGAAAAACGAAAAGTTAGTCCCGGTTCCAATCGATACTCGATTCTCGATACCCAACCCTATGTTGTATGGTAGTATACTCTTAAATACAGCTTTTAGCAGATACTCTCAATTGAAATGAACAGAGTACAGACCAAAATCCAATCAAACACTCGTTCTCCCATCAAATCCTGTCCTTCTCTCTGAAACTGACCAGGAACTAGCAGGTCATGGTGTTATTTAAAAAAAAAATGGGCAAACCCTTTGATTCGAGAGTAAAGTCGGCACACTGCCACTTCTGCTTCCAAGGAGTCAAACTATTGGACGTTTCAACCCGAATGTCTACGTTCAGTCTTAAAGCAGCCGTGACTCAGAAACTGCTTTCTGCTTGGTCACCGTTTTCCAGTGAAGCAAGAGCAACCTGAAATCTTTGGATCCGAGCCAGAAAACTGCTTGCCGACATCGAGTGTCTCGGGTGTCCGGCGGCAGTGAAGAGTGCTGAGCTTTGAGCTTTTATTTATACCTCCATCCTGCGCCGCAGTGAGCCGGCGTCTGAGAGGGCTCTCTGTGCCCGTCCTGCCCCAGAAACCAGGCAAACAATCAGCCTCACAATAGCATCTTTATGTCCTTGTTTCTGGGCCTTCCTGTCCAGATCCCGTTGGCAGGATAAGCAGCGGGAGCTCTTCGTTCCTGCTGTGTCATGCATCCAACCAGAAGAAAAGACTCAAAGTCATATTCGGCACTTCTGTAGTATTTTCCCCTTGAAGTGCGCTAGTCAAGGTTTCTCGCACCAAAACATCCGTTTCCACTTTCAATCTTAGCATGATTTTTCTAAGTGAATTTTGCCTCTGAAAGATTTCACATATTCATAAGTGAAATCCGAAGTAGAGGTCTTCTCGGGTCCTAAAAACTGTACCCGACCCGAATTGACCCGAATCACTACTTACCCGAACCCGACGTGCATAAATTATAAAAAAAAAGAGAAAAACCCGACACGAGACAGACCTGATAAAATCAGACCTGAGTCCGACCCGACCTGACGCCATTTCATTTAGAACCCGACTGGACCCGAACGTAAACGGCATTTACAGTGAGCACAGCCTGCGTTTCTCAAAAATGCGCTTAACATAGACGCGCAAGAGCACGCTGAGTGCTAAAATGTCAATCACACATCACTGTAACGCTTTAAGTCCTATAACATTTGGCATAATGTTATTTACCGGACCACGATGATTAGAACCACCTCAGGGTAAAATTTACCGATGGCTGTTTTTAAAATAGCCTACAGATTTTCATTCAAATTCTACCAGTCATTGACTTTTACTAAAATTGTCTTATTTAGCCTACAATCCCGTTGTTGCAAAGTTGTTTAGATAAAATGCGATTAAAACAGGGCATTAGAACCACAATAGCAGTCAAATTGGACGTTCTGAATCAAATGTTAATATGGTGACGTTATTGCATCAACATTTAACTGCGCGTCTTTTTTCCTTCCTTATCAACAATGATCACAAATCATTGTTGATAAGGATGACCCTGGATGTTTCTGTTCTACATATTCGTATTTTCCCTCACCTTTTTAGCAATATCTGTCTATCGTCGCTTGTCTGACAGTGTCGCGTATTTTTAAAATTGATTGACAGGCCTGGCTAAACGACAATTCAAATACTTGCATGTAGTCAAACGTCCATCCACATGATGGCGCACTAGTTCTTCTTTGCAAACGGAGGGGTTGGTTTTTGTGGAGCGAGCAACTGAGTAAATAAATGCGGAGGCAACCGTGCTTATGCTGGTATCCCATTGCACGTAAAAGCACGGATTCGCTCTCTCACTTAAAAAAAAGTCAGAAATACCTGGTACTTTTGTACCGCCTCAGTTGAGGTTTGTGCCGTACCGATACTAACACTGCAGATCCCTGATTGGTCAGAGAGAAATGCCACTACCGGCGTCATTGGATTCGAGACTCAAGACACCAAACCCACTAGATTAAAATCAATTGTTCACACTGCTTTTTTAAAGGAATTGCTTTAAACGACCAACTTGAAAAAAGAAATGTCTATATCGTAGTCAGTAGACGAGGTGGCGGTGCAATAATGATCCGTCTGTAATCCCACCCACTTTGAAGCGGGACTAAACTGCAGTGGAAATGCGAGCCGAGTCAGTGAGAGCTGAGTCGTACCATGACGAAAGCGGCAATAGTTGTGCAAACTAGGGAAACTACTATAGTAATCGTCCTTTGATTATTGATTAATGACACCTTTGCTGTGTTTGGAAAACGTCTCAGGTTACGACTGTAACCTATGTTCCCTGAGAACAGGGAATGAGACAATACGTCGAATGACGCAATGAGACGTTCCCCATTGCGTCATTCGACGTATTGTTGATACGTTGATGCGCATTTTTCAGGGGTTTTGGTTCGTTTTCACATCACACTGATTGCTCTGGTCCGAACCAAAATATAGTTACGTGACAACATCCACATTACTCGTTGGCCAGATATGTCTTGAACATATTTCCATAACTGCACTTCGATTGGTCAGAATTAACGTGCATGAACTCCTCCACTGTTTATGTTTTTGAAGAAATTCAAAAACATAAACAGTGCTCAACAAGTGTCTCCGCTGAAGGGAATAGTACATTATTTATCGGCTTTAATATATCGGCCACGTTTTCTTACCAGGCCGATAACGATAACATTAAATTGAACATATATTGGCCGATATCGATATGCTGGCCGATATCTCGTGCATCCCTACTTACCAATGATTTTTAATAGACAGTTGCAGTCTTGGTGTTGGACTGTCGGTTCAGTGGGTAATGAATATAAATAATCACTATTGCAATCACAAAGGCTTTTCATAGACTCAATTTCCCTCATTAAAAACATCTCTAAGCATCTCCACCCCAAACTCTTGTCCGACGCTGATGATCGAGTGCTCATGTTGCAGCGCCGCTGGTGTCTGTCTGTCACTGTTGTTAATGCTCTGAACATTAATGATTTGCTTTATTTGACATCACTGTCTCTTCTCTGTGTTGATGCAGCCGCAGGACCGGTCAGTACAATGTCCAGAGGAGCAGAGGCCCCGACAAGGCCCCGTACCAGCGCTGCAGCTCGCAGGACTCTCTGGACGAGCAGGTCATGGTGGACTACTTTAAAGAGCTGGAGATCATCCAGCGCAGCGGAGACGCGGAGACGCAGGAGGACGAGCAGCTGAAGGTGGCCGACGGTGAGAGCGCCGCCTGTCCCAACCGCTGTGACGGAGCTTCTTACAAAATCATTTCTGGATTATTACATTGAATAAATGTTAAAGATCAGATTTAACATTCCCTGATTTACTCTCCCCCACATCATCTTCATTTGATGAAAATATTCCAGGATTTTCTCCATATAATGGACTTCAATGGGAACCAAACGGTTCAAGGTTTGCAAACTGTTCAAAGGGCTTTAAACGACACCAGACGATGAATAAGGGTCTTATCAAGCGAAACGATCACTCATTTAATAAATAAATACAAAGTTTAAGTTTTATAAGCTCAAATGCTCGCCTTGCTCTGTTCTGTGATGCGCGTTCGTGACTCTCCTGTTCGAACTCGTTCATCAAAATGAACAAATCTTTTTCCGAGTCAATTCGTTCATTTCGTTCGTTGAATGAACCAAATGTCACGAAAAAAGACTGAAGAAAGAAAGACATGGACATCTTGGATGACATGGGGGTGAGTAAATTATCAGCAAAAGTTTTTTTTTTTAAAAAGTGAACTACTCCATTAAGTTTTTTCAGGATTTTCTCCATTGACTTTTTTTGCAGCAATGTTTTATTTTGAGATGAATTGAGAGCTTTTAATTTGAAAAGTTCTGAACGAGATTCAAAAGTGTCTGTGGATCGCTTCGTTGCAGAGAAGACACATTCACAAAACTAGGTCGGATAAACACACAGTTGTCTTTCCATTCTTCTTTGTTTTCTCTATTTTCGCTGTCAGCTTTCCTCTTTAGGCTCTTTGATAGTGACATATTTTCTCACTAGCCACTTAAAGGGTTAGTTCACCCAAAAATGAAAATTCTGTCAGTATTTACTCACCCTCATGTTGTTCCAACCCCGTAAGACCTTCGTTCGTCTTCACAACACAAATTAAGATATTTAAGATATTAAGATCACTCCTGCATACTAGTCCATAGGCTTCTCGAGGGAATGACTCTTGCTGTCCCCGAAAAGTCATTAAAGACATCGTTAAAATAGTCCAAGTGACTACAGGGGCTCAATCTTAAGTTTATCAAACGACGAGAACACTTTTTGTGCGCAAAAACAAACAAAAATAACCATAAATTAATCATATTGGACCTTAAAATGAACATACCAAAAGAACAGTTTATCTAAAAGAATACAAAGATGTGTTAAACCTTTCTTGAGTTGCAGGAAGATTGTATAATATAATGCAATGAAGATTGCTAAAGTCAACAGATTTCACTAATAGACCAACAGGTCTCTAAAATAATAATGCTGCCATGATATTTCTGAAGACATTTTTCACTACAGTGATTTTGCTCCAAATCTCAGGACACAATTATAAGTTTGACGCCCCCATCAATAAATAAATTTATTCATGATTTTTTTATATTTTGCCTCTTATAAAAAATTAGCTAAATTTGAGCTGTGGAAGTTTCTGAAATGAGTTTGATTTGACCCGGGCCTGCTGTAAACGGCTTGAGAAACATTCAATCTGTGTTTCTGAGTCTCTATGTGGATTACACTCAACAGATTTTTTTCAAACCATTGGTAATTCATTCACAACATTGTTTTGTGTTGCTAAGCTCCAATGAAAACGTCTTTATTGCAAAAGATTGTGATGACTAATGGGTTCTTGTACATTTTCATCATGTTTTCTGCTGAGTTCAGCATGCTATGCAAAGCAAGATTAAAACATGGCTTGCACTTACACTTCTGCCAGACCGCTGGCACACACACACACACACACGTGAACACCGTCAGCCGTCGAGCATGGTGTGCCTGGATCCCAATCCTTAAAGGGATAGTTCACCCAAAAATGTAAACTCTGTCAGTAATTACTCTACCTCATGTTGTTCAACCCCGTAAGACCTTCGTTCATCTTCGGGACACAAATTAGGATATTTTTGATTAAATCTGAGAGTCACACACAGGCTCACTATTGGCCGACGCTGGTCATGTGGGAGATGCGTGTGACGACCCAGAAACACTATGAGAGCCCACAGAGAAGGAAATTCATGTTTTTTTTTTGCAAACAAAATGTAGTCTCGTCACATGATAAACTTAAGGTTGTGTCACTGTAGTCACTCAGACTATTTTAACGATGTCTTTAATAACTATTCTGGGCCGGCAAGTTTCAATCCCTTACTTAACTGTGGTTTGCCACTATATTTTTAAAACAATAATATCTTAGTAAATACCTTAGTAATATTGACAAACTATATATCATTTGAAAGCTTACAAACTCAAGTTTCCATATTTGGTGACTGATTTTCAAAATATATTACAGAGAAGCCATAATTTATCAATATGCAACAAGAATATTTTCATACTCATAAGCGAGTTCAGACCTTTATTTTAAAATAGCAGTGAACATGAAAAATCATGAAAAAATGGTAGATACGTCAGTTTATTTTCATGCCAAAAGTTCAAAAGATAACATCCATTTAATTATTTTGGAAAAAAAGGTCTGAAATGTTTGAAATATCAAGAAAAAAATAATAAATTCACCATTTGTGACGTGGCAGCGAGCTATGACTTACATGAAGGTTCTTTGTATGTGTTTCTTAGAGGTTGAATTCATATCAGAATCTGCCAAACTTCCCATGCTACTTCTGAATTAGGATCTGTACTTCATAAATTGTATGAAAATTGTGGAAATAATGGTTCATATCACTCAAAACACGAATGGAAATGCAGGCGCCCTTATATGGGCAGTAATGGAGTCTGATTGTGCCCTAGTGAAAAAGTTTGGTACTGCGCCCAAACTAAATCTCACTGAAAGCTCATTTTTTGAGATGTCAACCTAAAATTTGAAACACAGCTTGTTCAGATTTTTGGCTCTGCAGTTTTAGAGTAGCCCTGGTTTTGAAAATATATATTTTATGTAAAATATAAATAATTAATATTTTTACACTGTACATTTCCATAAACTCATACTTCTATAACTGTTTCACTTTCTTAATTTATTTCACTTTCGACAAAAATCTGCCAAATGTCTTCTTTAAAACAAGACCAATCATATTGTCTATATTCCAAAGCATTCTTGAATTACAACCATTTAAGTTCGAAATGTGCATTTTCATGTCTATTCAAAAAAGGGGGAGTGACAGTATGGACTAGTATGGAGGAGTGATATAATATAATATCTTAATTTGTGTTCGAAGATGAACGGAAATATTACGGCGTTGAACAACAGAATGGGTGAACTAACCCTTTCAGTGTTGAACTTCATATTAAATGTCTTATATTCTCTTTTACCTTTAAATAGAAGGCTGTAAAAGGGCTTAGAAATCATGAATAGCAATTGCCAAATTATATGGACCGAAATTAGATCTGTCACTTTAAAAATGGCATTTTAAATGGAAAATTTGACCATAATGGTTGAACTGTTGACTTTACGCCAAAAGTTTTGTAAAATTCTTTCAATTTGTCATAATTGAACACATAAAACTGTTCCAGCACTCAGCAAAGTGTTTAATACATGCTATGTTGTTTTTTTTTAACCTAAACACATTGGTCAAGGCAGTGTACATACGTGGCATTGTTTGTTTACATTCCTCCATGTTTAAGGACAATAGGCCTAACTTACAGGAAGAACCCACAATTAAAACCACAGACGGAGATCATCGCGGACGCTCAGCAGGAATTGTTTGGAGACTTCCTCAACTCATGTGAGCGACTGCATTGTGAAGTTACCGGAAGAGGAAGATCTCTCTGTTTCCTCTCAGAGCTAACTTAACGTCTTCCTCTTCACCACGGCTGTGATGGAAATAACAGGTGTTAAATCACTGCGGAAAATAACAGGAATGATGGCACCTGGCTGTATTTCTCTCGGTGTCTGAGGTGTCCAGGACATAGACTGTAAAAAAAGATGGACGACGCTCTTCTCTCTCTTCCATTGTAGAAAAGTGACGTCCCAATCTTGCGCAGTGGACCATTAGAAACAAACTTGAATTATTTTCATGTTATCACTGTGAAGCTGCTTTGATACAATCTGTATTGTAAAAAGCGATAAATAAAGGTGACTTGACTGTAGAAATGAAAGCTTTTGCTCAAATCTCCTCCTGAAAATACCCCGAAAAGTCAGTTGTGACCTGTCAATCATGACGTCACGTCCCCATAGACCAAAAGACCAAACTTATTTTAAAAAATGAACTCTAAACTTACATCAGCGTGATTTCAAAAATACCTAAAATGTTAGAAAACTGTATTTGAAGTGTAATTTGATTGTTTAGTTTGCCTCACGACTTCATGGGAGGGCGGGGTTTATGAGCTGTACTGGGACCAGCCACCAGGGGGCGATCAAGACGCTTTGGCTTCACTTTCAAGGCTCATCTTCTCTTCTGTCCTGTGTTGTTCCGCAGAGGGCGAGCAGGAGGAGGCGTGGCTGATGGAGGCGGGGCTAGCGACGCTGTTCGACGAATCGGCATCAGGCGGCGAGGACAGCATCGCTCTGCTGTCGACTCTGACCCGAACGCAAGCGGCCGCCGTGGCGAGGCGTGTGGAAACGCTGAAACAGACGCTACGCAAGCGGAATAAACCATATACTATCCCAGATGTCCGAGAGATCTTTAAACCATCACCTGATTCACAAAGTAAAGTAAGAAAACACTGCACATTTATGCTGTTCATGCCCGCGAATGAATGGCCATCCGTCTAGAACAAAGTTGTACGAACGCATTTCGGTTTCAATGTAGTTTAGCTTTCTGAACAGCATCTACCGCATTTACAAGTTACAAGTCTTGATGTTGTTTCAGGCTCTACTAGAATATGTTTTCCTGCTTGAATGTTGATTATTCTCCATTGTTGCGGCTCCTCTCTTCCTAGTCTGTCAGTAACGCTCTGTTCACTTCCTGTCTCTATGAAGCCCCTCCTTCTGAAAAGCACACTGATCCAGCCGACCAATCAGAGCACGGTGTTTTGTGATTGGTCAAGTGTTTCGAGTGTGTTTGGGAAATGTCCCGCCCCTTGCCTTAACCATAGGTGTAAAGTCCAGGGGTCAGAAAGTAAAAGTCCTGCCCTGCCAATTACCAGATCCAGGTGAAAACTTTTACTTTCTGAACCTGGACTTTACACCTCACCAGTTTAACACACTACTAACTAACTCAACCAGGCCCCGCCCATTTATTCTGCATATTAATTATTATAATGAGTAATATTGTGACGTTTTTGTTCCTGGAAGAAACTCAAGACTACAATGGAGGCGTTTCAGGAGTTCAGAAACAATAGCTGCGTTTCCATTACACTTCAATTTGCACAAATTTAAATTGCGAAATGAAAATACGCTCAATGGAAACACGTCAATTTCGCAAAAACTCCCGTTTATCGCAAAAAAGTTTTTACGCTCGCATGAGGAGGTTTTTCAGGCAATTCGAAAAAGGATTTTTTGGCAAAACTGCAATGGAAACGGATTTTGCGCATTTACAGTCACCTGACTTAGAAGACGGAGTGTTATTTAGGTCCGTATCCGCAAATAATAATAATTATCATCATTATTAGCCTATTATAACATTTATTAGACTACATATGTAGAAGACGCTTTTATCCAAAAAAGAACAAAGCAATTCGTCACATCTCATTCATAGTACAGGTTGGACAATAATAGGGCTAAGATTATCACAAATAAACACTCGATTTTGACCAATATCCAAGAGTGTGTGTGTGGAGTGAGCACTGGATGGCAGACAGACGCCGTGAACACTTTCATTTTCCCATCAACAGTGGAGTCAACTTAAAATACTCGAGCATTTCTGGTTATACAGAAAATAATAATACATTATTCGCAACTACTTTTATTTGCGTAACGTCACAATAACAAGAAAACGTTGTGCTTTTGTAAAATAACATAAAACAATCAGGCGCGCTTTATGATCTTCGTGAACTGGAGCGCGAGAACTGAACCAATAGCCTTTATAGACTAAAGCTTTAAATGTCCACTTTAAAACGAACAAATTCGAATCGTAAACTAATACCTTCTGATTATGTAATCCGTATGAAAGGTGCCGTTCTCTCTAAAGCTGCATCCGGATATTATGTTTTTAGCTCGGTTTTTTTTCAGACGCATTTATAATAACTCACCTATAGCCTATACAGCACTGCGGGAAAAATATCAGAAATATCCATGTTCTAATTTGGCCTTAGAAAACCAGTAAAATCTACATTTTTTTTCCATATTAATTTGTGAATATTTTAAATGTTTTAAAGGGGGCAAAAAGTCATAAACAAATATGAAAATCCGTTGAGATGTATATAACACAGCTATTGGTGTGGTCAAACTAAAATGTTTTGCAACGACCGTTTGGACATAATACGAGAGAGTTCTTTATTAAATTAATTTAAAAAAAGAAACAATAATTACAGGAATAGCCTCTCTAAACCTCAAAGAAATGCCATCAAGACATGGAAGCAGAAATAAGAGAGAAACACCAGGAACTCTGTGTCTTTCCCTGCCATTAATGCTTGGATAACACACCACGTCTCCTTCCATTAATAATAATAATGTCGAGTGCGGTGCATGGCTGTGAAATAGGTTATAAACCTACCAAAGTCCGTTGCCATGATTTTTGGAATGACTTATCGCGAGAGGAAAAAAAGACGTTTTAGTCGCATAACATCGGTTAATGGAAACACCGTCATATCGCATTAGTTTTTTATCGACATTTGGAAAATATCGCAAAAGTTTTGCGCAAATCTGTAATGGAAACGCACCCACTGACACTGATAAGGGGAATAACTCCTTTTCCATGCTCAAACAGCAACATTAAAGAAAAATTGAACTTGCACTAGTGTGACGAAGAGCTTTTTATGTCTGTTAGATGCATAAACCAGTTACCAACCAATGATTTGACATTTTGAATCTGTGAATTAACACATATCAGTGTGCCACTGTCTGGTGGTTATTAAAGCACAGTCTGCCTGTTTATTCTTCTCCCAAATGGTTTTATTCAGTGTAAAGCATTGACATGTGATAAAGCCTCAGGGTGAAGTTCATGCCAGGCGTACAACTAGTGACTGGAGCTTTCTGACATTTTTTTACAGGCTGTTAACAGTGTCACCAATTATACAGTACTTCCCTATTAATAAACATTTCAGCACAGTGTAATGAATAACTGAGAAAATTCCAGTTTGAAGGATCTGTGATGAACCACAGACGTCATTTACTGTGCCATTTGGAGGAAAGGCATGAGCGGTGATTTATGTTTCTGCTGGACCCATCTGAGAAAATGAGAGGTGGCCAAAATCAGATGGACTTAATTAAAGCTCGTTATGGTGCAATGCCACGTTGACTGACATGTGCTTGAATCACTGTCACAAACACAAGCTTGGAGCAATATTGTAAGTTACTAATACATTTTTAACTAGCAGAATAATAATGCATCACGATACACATCGTTGACTGAAATGTGTGTGATTGGTGTTATATACTTGTATACATGCTCTTAACTAATTGCCCCTTGTGGGATTAATAAAGTTGATAAAAAAGTAAAGTAAATAGTCTCAGTTTTAGTTACTTCTGAACTATTAAAATATTTCGAAGGGCAAAAACGTGAACTTTACCCATTGGCTTTACTTCCTCAATTAGCTGTCACTTTAGCGTGAGGGCAGTAGCATAGCATTAGCACCTCAGCTCCACCCACGCCCCGCCTCTTTGCCCATTTTAATTTATCCGGTACTGACCAGGTATGGAAATACTGAAATTGAATAAAGTTATCAAACACTTCAAAGTCTTCACAGCATAAATTAAATTTATTTTGTTCTTTTATTATTGATCTCAGTTGCATTTTATTATTTGTGGACTCTGGGAACTCAGCAATTTTGGTGCTATTGGACTTGAGCGCGGCTTTTGACACGGTTGATCACGACATTCTGCTATCGCGTCTAGAAAAGTGTGTGGGGTTTCGAGGTACTGCTCTAAATTGGTTCCGATCGTATCTTAAAGATAGAACGTTCTCAGTGGGTATTGGAGATGCTGTATCATCTGTAGCACAAGTCACTTGTGGTGTCCCCCAGGGGTCTATTTTGGCCCCCATATTGTTTTCATTGTACATGTTGCCTTTGGGCTCAATTTTTAAGAAATATGGAGTGTCCTTTCACTTTTATGCAGACGACACCCAAATCTACTTGCCCTTGAAACAAAATGACAAGCAAGGCTTAGAAACCTTGCGTGATTGTTTAAATGATGTTCGAGCTTGGTTGTCTTTGAATTTTCTGCATTTAAATGAGTCTAAGACTGAAGTAATTGTTTTCGGGCCCTCCGTGGGAAAGATAAAGCCCAATAATAATTATGACTCTTTAAATAATTATGTCAAACCTACTGTGAGAAATTTAGGAGTTATTTTTGATGCATCCCTCAAGTTTGACAAACATATTAATTCGGTGGTCAAGTCTTGTTTTTTCCACCTTAAACTTTTATCCAAAGTTAAACCTTTTTTATCTTTTAACCATCTTAAAACTGTAACTCATGCATTTGTTTTATCTCGTTTGGACTATTGTAACTCACTGTATGTTGGTTTACCTAAGTCATCCATGTTGCGGCTTCAGATGGTCCAAAATGCCGCTGCCAGGTTTCTAACTGGAGCGCGTAGACGAGAACATATCAGCCCGATATTAATGTCTCTCAACTGGTTGCCAGTACATTTTAGAGTGGAATATAAAATTTTAATATTTGTTTTTAAGGCACTGATTGGTCAGGCTCCGCCTTATCTGTCAGACCTTGTTAACGTGAAACACTCAACAAGATGCTTGCGCTCTTCCGACAGTATCACACTTGTACACCCAAAATCCAGACTGAAGTTGCGAGGTGATCGTGCCTTCTCAGTGGCTGGTCCTAGGCTATGGAACAGCCTTCCCTTATCTGTGAGATCTGCCACATCTATGTATGAATTTAAATCCAAACTGCAGTCATATCTTTTTAACCGCGCATTTCACTCTTAACCCATAAAGAATGCAAACGTAGTTTTTTTTCATTGCTTGTTAGTTTTGTGATGTTGTGTCTTTATATTTTTATTCTTTTTCTATGTACAGCACAGTGGTCAACTTCTGTTGTGTTTATTTGTGCTATATAAATAAACTAAATGAAATGAAATATTGATGAACAAGTTTGTTTTGAACATAACAACAGTTTGCTTCATTGTCTTGTTGTGCGTCACTCTCTTTTTCTGACACAGCAGGACGAGGCCGAATCCACAGACAGAAGTGGGAGCGGGAAACTGGAAGTGGAAGGAACGGGTATGTGTCATGAGTTAAAGCTCGTGTTTCATAGCGTTACTCAAAATGCCTTTAACATTTCATTAACAGAGTGAGTCGAAATGACAGACAGCAACACACAGAAAATGCTGGAAATAGAAATAAATAAAGAAATGAAACATTCTGCTTTTTATAAAACATGCAGAATATCAGGGATTTTTTTTTTCTTTCTGAGTGTAATCACCAATAGACCAGTGGAAATAAACACGACAGAGGTGTTGTAAAGTCATTTCTCGGAAGCCTATGACAATTCTGAAAGTCATTTTTAGTGCTGGGCTATCTTGTTTTACAGTGTTCATACTTTACCCTGGCTGTCAGGTTTAGAGATTTCACACTCTACATTTGTAAACATACTTATTTACAATGTTAATAACATCAGTTGAGGACACAAGAAGATGTCCACTGAAACATACAGTTCTACCACAAAAGCTTCATAATCTCATCCCTGAAGGCGTTTGCCAACTAATCAGAGCCAGTGAATATCTTTGCAGCGTAAAATAGACACTGTTTAGTTAATGATTGGGTGTTGTCTGTTGCTAACCAACTCGCCGTGACGTGCTAGCTCTGCTTTTTTGACACTACTACTACTTTGCTCATAATGCAGGGTTAAACGCAGCACTCGTTCATCAGACACCACCCGTTAAAGCGCCTTTAACCCCTCAGGACATCGGCATAGAGTCGAGATGGTAAAACAACGACTGCCAAATAGTGACGTGTCTGATCGCTGGACTTTGACTAGCCTGATTTAGTTTAATCAGCAAAGAGTGACGTGAGGACACTCGTGTGTTTTTGCCCATAAATGTTTGTCATAGTTTCACACAGCATGAAATGAGTTTTGTGTGTTTATGTGTGTTTATGGTTTGGTTAGGTAACGGGGCGGGGCCTGATGCTGACGCCGAGACGGACATTAACCTGGAGGTGTCGTTCTCCGAGCAAGCGCTTATCTACAAAGAAGGGTTGAAGGTCACCCAGCCCCAGAGCGAGGCCGACGACAGGTTACCCGTGAGTCGAGCGCATTCGTGTGTGTGTGTGCTGGGCCAGTGCTACTCGCTCTGACCGGTTGCCTGAGGATAAAGTTGATATATTATATTTTTAGATTGCAAAAATGTCAAATTTGAGATTTAAAGCCACTCATGTGCATCTGTGCTCTTGTTGAGTGGCAGCGACCTCTGCTGGTCAGACTGGGGAACTGCATCACTAGAACTGTTATATTTGAAGAGTTCAGATGCAAAAGCCTCTAAATGCCATTTGAAATTTTCTTCTTTAATGATGATTTTTTATCAAACTTGTATATTTAAGTTCAGTAATTTCACTTAAATAACAATTAATAGGTAATTATAATTGCCATTTAAGTGAAATCACTGAACTTAAATACACAAGCTTGATAAAAATGATCATTCTTGAAGAAAATTTCAAATGGCACTTAGGGTTTTGCATATGAACTCTTCATTTACTTCTACTACTATTAAAGGTAGAATTATAATCTCCTGATAATTTACTCGCCTCCTCGTCATCCAAGATGTCCATGTCTTTTTTTCTTCAGCCGAAATAAATGAGGAAACGAAACCTTCATATAGTGTCTTCAATGGGGTCCAACGGGTCGAAGGTCCAGATGTGAGTTTCAGACACGATCCAGCTGAGGAATAAGAGTCTGATCTAGACAGACCATCATCATTTTATAGCAAAACAAACATTTATATACTTTTAACCACAAATGCTCATCTTACACTAGATCTGTGATGCGACACACATTATATAATCATGTTGAAAGGTCACGCGTAACATAGCCGGAGGTACAGAACTCCTGTTGTGTTTGCAAAGACTAAGTCAAACGCCATTACAATAAAATTAAAAAATAAATAAATAAAGGTAAACCAATGATGTCGGACAATTTTTAAGTTGGAGGAGAAAATGAGATGAATTTCTGAACCGGAACACGTGTGACTTTTCAACATGATTATGCAATGTGTGTCGCATCACAGAGCTAGTGTGAGACGAGCATTTGTGGTTAAAAAGTATATAAATTAGTGCTGTCAAATGATTCAAATATTTAATCGCGATTAATCGCATTAATGTCATAGTTAACTCACGATTAATCGCACATTTTTATCTATTCTATTTCTTTTTGTTACATTATTTTTTTTCTCATTTTAATGCTCTCATCAACATGGAAAAGTGGATTGGCTTGTTTAGTGCAAATGTATATTATTATTATTGAAAATAATAAATATCTCTCACACAATGTAACACTGTCTATCAATAAAAGGGTGAAAGAAATACTGACGCGGGGGTAGAGAATTCGGAATTCAAGTGGTGTTTCAGACTGGACGTGCTGCGATGATGATCGCTCAGTTCACAACAACAAAACACAGATCACTTGGTCTTGTCAATGGGACAATTTGGCAACTTTTTAAACGTGAACTTTCCATTCAGAATCTTCTAAGGGCATCCATTTCGGCGTCTCGCGCTCGTAATTTGGCACGTGACTATTGGCGAGTGTGTGCGGCACAAAACGTCCTCGCGGCTCGCGCTGCGCTCTGAAACATTCATTTCAATGGCTTGGACGTTTTGTTGTTTCTTCGACCAAAGCACAAGCGGATCTAGACCGTAAACAAAACAACAGGCACGTTTGGGCTTGCGAGCCGACTTTGAGTGGATGACGAGCGCGAGACGTCGAAATGGATCAGGACGCATGCGGCGTCCTGTTGCAAAAGCATGTGAAAAAACTACAAAGTTTGCTAGGACAAAAAGACCGTTAATCGCGCGAAAAAAAAAAAATTAACGCCGTTAAAATGGGTTTGCGTTAACACCGTTAATAACGCGTTAAACTGACAGCCCTAATATAAATGTTTATTTCGTTATAAAATGTCCGCCGGTTTGTTTAGATCAGACTCTCAAGCCGCCTTTCCACTGCACACGACAAACGACCGCCGTCAGACCGGAAGTCATTCATTTCCAATGGAGAGTCGTACGAGTTCCGATCATATGCGTGTGCGGAAAATTCGGATCCGTTTTGAGCTTTGGATCCGTTGAAATATCTGAACGTCTGCGGCCAGACCGTATGCGACCGGCCAACCGGAAGTGATGTATTCTAATAAAAACTATGAGCGCGAGGCTAGAATTACCAATATTTTAACTCTTTAATGTTTTTCTGTAAACGCTCGCTCTGTAAAATGTTGGTTATAATTAACTATAGCAGAAAATATATTTGATAATTATTAAACCAATATTTATACTACTATATTTTTATTTGAGATGAATTGAGGGTCATTTGTTCTGTGTAGATATTTATGCATGCATTACATTCATTAAAATCATTAATTTTAACGGTTGCTTCACGACCAATTTCAAAGTTCCGTGCAACTGACACCAGGGGGCGAAATACGACAATCGTATGCGAATGTCGTGTGCAGTGAAAAGGCGGCTTTATTCCTCGGCAGGATCGTGTCGAGACTGAAACCCACATCTGGACCTTCGCACCATTGGACCCCATTGAATTAGAGCATGATTAGAGACCGGACAGCATGTGTCTACTGTATCCCTCATTCACTCGTTCTCTCGCTCGCAGGACTTCAGAGTGTCTCAGGATAAGACGGGACAGACTAAAGTAGGCGATCTCTCCGCTGAGGACATGAGGAAAGTTCACAGACTGGTCCTTATCGAGATGAGCGCTCTGTTCGACACGTGTGGAATCGAGGTGAAGGCCCATAAAGCGCTCAAGGTCAAAGTGAGAGGTCAGTGCCTCCCATATGTGTGTAGGAAACTCTGTGTATCTTGAATATGAACGGTAAGGTCTGAGAACACAGCTGAATGAGACATCTTGTGGTGTCATCCGTAGAGTCGGGTTTGTTTGGCGTTCCTCTCTCTACGCTCCTGGATCAGGACCAGCGGAGGATCCCAGGAACCAAAGTGCCTCTCATACTGCAGCATGTAAGAGCATGACGGGACGCTAGCAGACACCATGACATCCCGGGTCCACTTTAGTTTAGGGTCCAATTCCCTCTATTAACTATTAAAGGTGCCATCTGACATAATAAATCAAATCCTACTCCATATTCCATACCAGATGGGGGCAGTATACCCCCAGAAAATGAGTTGTGCTCCTACCATCGCGCATGTTATTCAAATCAATTGACACGATAGTAAAAGGTTGGAAGACCGCAGTTTCACGTGGAGCATTTGGAGATTTTTAGAGACTCAATGAACAACATCTCAACAGTAAATGATGAAGACCGCCTCATAGACGCCTGTCTCAAAAACAAGCCGGTGCATTTCGACGATATGGGAAAATAAAAGCCTGGGCAATTATTTGAAGTTTATGGTATTCGTTTTGTTCATATTATACTTTTATTGTTAGTTTAAATTAATTTGACAGACAGCATTCGCTGATGTTGATCAAGCTAGCGCCTTTCAGAGCTGCCAACTCTTAACGAATTCACCGTGAGATTGACAATTAACACTTAGCAAGCAGGTTAGTTAAGCTCTCGGATTCTGTCAATTTTATTACGCAATTCAAAGAATAAATACCGTTTTGGCGCTTGTACATGTTACACGACAGATCCCTAGCGCACGTGAACCGATCATCTCTACTAGCTAATGATAAATGAACACGAACACTGTTGAAAGATACAGTATGTTACAACTTAATAAAATGTTTTCCTCGTGCATAATATCGACCAATCATTTTTTGAACTGAAATGTAGTAGTGGGCTGTATTTTCCACACGACTGACATCAGGTTCAAGTACACACAAGCCGTGCGAGTTACTCGTCTATTGCAGTTTGGCTGGTGGTAACGTTGCCCGCCCGCATACCGCCTCCCATGGCCGAAACTGGTATTACGACACCTGCCGGGCCGGGGCTAGTAATTTAGCATGCTAATTTAGGTTTATATCTCGGCAGCACTATAACTCGTCAGTTTTTTAATGACATCATTGCACTTATTTCTTCTCATTCTTTTGATGCGTGTAGCTCATTTTTTGGATATTTTTACCTCAATTATTCCATATGGCACCTTTAAGCATGCATATTACTAGGATATTAGTACTTATAAAGCACATATTGTTGCATGACCATATTCTACATCCCTTAATCCACCCAATACCTAAGCTTAACAGCAACTTTACTAACTATTAATACGCAGTAAGTCCCTCCAGGATTTCACGATTTTTTTTTGTGATTTTTGCGATCAAAATGACTGATTTTGTGGTGGTAATTTCCAAAAATTTGTGAAAAAATTTGCGATTTATATTTAACATTTACCATAATAGTATTCAGTCCTTCCAGAAAAACGCGGAGTTTTTTTTGTGATTGTTGCGGGCAAAAATTGATCGATTATGCGGCCAGTTTTCTTTAAAAATGCGATGGAATATGTGGGATATTTATGCAATTTTATGCGATGAAATTGCTGGAATTTGCAAAAATTGAGGGAACTTGCAAAAATTGCGGTTTGATGAAAAAGAGAAAAAAGTGATTCCCCCAACATCCTGTTAATATAAGAGTCATTTCTTATTACTTCCTTTGATAAACAAGCATACTACATCATATAAAGTGCTGGGAATATTTAATTTCTCATCTTGTTTTATTTCAGACTGTAAGAGTGTAAATAAGGTGTGGCCTCTTTAAGAGCTGCGCGCTCCCTGTTGAACTGTCGAACACCCCATGTGTGCGTGTAATTTCTGTTTGATGCTACTTCTTTTATCTTATGTTGTTTATTAAGTAACGATGTGACTGTAGAACATGTGACAGACAGTTATACGAGTTAGATTTGTGAGATGTCAATCGCCTCCGCGAGTCTGTCTGGCGTCGCGTAATTGCGTCACTTCATAACGTTCCCATGGAAACAGGGGGAAATGGCTGCTCTTATGTGTAGCAAACGCAACATTTTTCAACTTTCTGCTAAGATACATGTGACTTTTTTTGCAACGAAAATGTGAGGATTATGAAATTATGCAAACCCCGCATATTTTGCACGGAAATCGGCAATTTATGCGGCGAAAGTGCGGCGTATTTGAAAAAATGCGGCCCCCGCATAAATATGCGGACTTTGGCTGATTTTGCATTGAATTCAGCGATCGCATAATCGCGTTTTTCTGGAGGGACTGAGTAATTAGGAATTTGAAGCAAAAGTCGTTGTTAATTGTGAGAATTGGACCCAAAATTAAAGTGTGACCGAAACTTACACACGTGCTATGATTTACACGGCATTATTTTAATATTTTGAACATGACACACCAAATCTGAATGTTACAACTGTGTTGGAGAGTGAAGCGTAGTGTTTTCAGGAACGACACTGTCATGTGACGAGAGCTGTGTTTGTGTTGTGTATGCTACCGTTCAGAAGTCTGGGGTCACTACCCTTTTTTAAAAAAAAAAAGTAAATGAATGCTTTTATTTATCAAGGATGCATTAAATTGTGACTGTAAAGACATTTATAACGTTACAAACGATTTCTATTTCGAATGAGTGCTGCTCTTTGATTTCTGAAGGATCATGTGACTGAACATTCAGCTTTGATCACATAATATTACTGTATGTTTGATCAAATAAATCAAGCATTGTGAGGAACATTAGAAATGGTAGCACCCCCACTCGTTTGAGCGCTAGTGCACAGTTTGTGATTAGCACTGATGCGACTGACTTCATTTCTCAGCTGATCTCCCACATCGAGGAGCAGGGTTTGGACACGGAGGGAGTCCTCCGGATACCCGGAGCCGCCACCAGAGTGAAGGTGAGGGTTATTTCTGGGTTATTTCTGTGGTCATGTGCATGGTTGTAACACATTTGCGTGTGTGTTTCCCAGGCCGTGTGTCAGGAACTGGAACACAAGTTTTACGAAGGCCTGTTTCCATGGGAGAGCCTGAAGCAGCACGACGCGGCGAGTCTCCTGAAGCTGTTCATCCGAGAGCTGCCGTACCCCCTGCTGACCGTCCAGTACTTCACCGCCTTCACCTCCGTGCTGAGTGAGTGAGCATGAACACACAACGCCCGGAGAACCGCTCTATAGTAGAAACTGAAGCTTTAATTGAGACTGACACTGTTTTTCATGTTTAACCCTCAGGTGCTCTTTGGTCATTTTTGACAGAAAATTTTTCTGTTTTGAATTTTTAAAAATCACTGCTTCATCGGAGTGTTATGAAACTTGGTGACTTTTATGGCATTGGGTATGTGAACACACACAAAAATTGAGGTCATGATCCGAGCATGCTAAGTGGTCGTAAAAAAATAGTTACACTTGTGGTCTTTGGTCCAAAATGACCGACCCATAGGAAATGAATGGGAAATTGACAAAAACACGTACGTGCAATCTACAAATCGGCCACAATTCTAAAAAAAAAGTAGACCGCAGGAAAGGGGTGACACTCTACAACATCTAGAGTGCAAAACAGACACACCCACCAACACACACACACATACAAACACACTTGCATACACATACACACCAATAAATTTGGATTACAAAAAGTATGTTTTGAATTTTTAAAAATCACAGCTTCATCGCAATGTTACGAAACTTGGTGACTTTTATGGCATTATGTATGTGAACACACAAAAAAAATGAGGTCATGATCTGAGCTTGCTAAGTGGTCTTAAAAAAAATAGTCACACTTGTGGTCTTTGGTCCAAAATGACCCCCATAAGAAATGAATGGGAAATTGACAAAAACACAAAAATTCACAATTTATTTTTATTTATTTTTTTACTTTTTTTAATAAAAAAACGTTTTTGACATTGTTTCAACTATATATTCAAATCCACCAAAAAAAAAATAATAATAAAAAATTGTTCATAAACAGCTGGGGAATTCACATGCTTCTCCATAGAGTGCTGTACATGCCATCTAGTGGTTACACCATGATCCTACGCTTTTTCTCTATACTGTAACCAGATGGTGCTAATTTTCTTCAAAGGCCTAGACTCTATATAAAACTAAAATACTGCATTAATAATTTTTGGGAAAAAAAAAAATATATATAGAAAAATATATTTATTTTTCCATGGCAAAAACAGACCATAAATATTGCATTAATATTAATAAATTCAATCAAATTGTCTCAAAATACTAAATTAAAAAGAATAAATATTATAGAACAAAAATAAATTGCATTGGTTTTACTGGGATGGAGAAAGTTTAATTTTTAGGTGTCCGGTCACTTTTGACCAGGAAGATAAGAAGTGTGACTCCGAAACAAAGAGCACCTGAGGGTTAATACAGTAAAACTGCTGCTTTAAAGCAAACTACAGTATAAAGTGTGTGTGTATGTGTAAATGGTTGTGATTGTGTGTGTTGTGAGCAGAGCTGCCCACTAAGAAACAGCAGCTACAGGCGCTCAATCTGCTGGTGCTCCTGCTGCCAGAGCCCAACAGACACACTCTCAAGGTACGCCCGCACACACTCACGTCACGGACGCACGTACCGGATCTGGGCCGACACTGTGATGATGACTTTAGTCCACGTTCACTGAACCTGAGTGCTCTGTCTTCCAGGCTCTGATGGAGTTCTTCCAGCGCGTGATCGACCGCAAGGACAGGAATAAGATGACCCTGAACAACGTGGCGGTGGTGATGGCGCCCAACATCTTCATGTGTAAGGGCTTCCGCAGTAAGATCAGCGAACAGCAGGAGTTCGCCATGGCCGCCGGCACTGCCAACATCGTCCGGCTGCTGATCCGCTACCAGAACCTGCTCTGGACGGTGCGTCACACCGCACGCCTCGCGCTAAACAACAGTTGAAAATCAAGATTCATTAGCTTGAGAAGCAAAATGACGTGGGAAATGTAAAATCTCAAGTCAGAGTGTTTCATAGGAGCTTTACAGAGATAACAGGAGAATAATAGGATTATAGCGTCACAGTCCAGCTTAAGGAAGTTCAGTGATGGGTCATTTCAGTTGTAAAAAAGTTATTAATTTAGTTAGCATATATATACACTACATGGTAAGATTGTTTTTATGTTTTTAAAAGAAGGCTTCTTCTGCTCTCCAAGGCTGCAATTATTTGATAAAAAATACAAAAAAAAACAGTAATATTGTGAAATATTATTACAATTTAAAACAGCGGTTTTCTATGTGAATATATAGTGAAGTGTAATTTACAGCATCATTACTCCAGTCTTCAGTGTCGCATGATCCTACAGAAATTATTATAATATGACGCTCAAGAAACATTTATGATTATTATCAATGTTGAAAACAGTTTTTTACACTTTTATTTCAGGGATTCTGAAATGAAATCTTTTGTAACATTAATCACTACCATTCAAAAGTTTGGGGTCAGTAAGAATTTATTTTTATTTTTTTTTAAAGAAAATACTTTTATTCATCAAGGATGAGGTAAATTGATCAAAAGTTACAGTAAAGACATTTATAATGTTAGAAAACATTATATTTTAAATAGGGCTGTGCAAAAATTAATTGTGATTAATCGCATCCAAAATAAAAGTCTGTGTTTACATAATATATTTGTGTGTGCTGTATATAATTATTTTGTATATATAAATACACACACATGCATGTATATATTTAAGAAAATGTGTTATTCATATTTTAAATATTTATATTTATATAATATAGATTATGTATTTATATATATATATATATATATATATATACAGAATATAAGCACAAATAATTCTTAAATATATACATGCATGCATAGGTATTTATATACAGCACACACAAATATATTATATGAACACAGACTTTTATTTTGGATGCGATTAATCGCAATTAATTTTTGCACAGCCCTAATTTTAAATAAATGCTGTTCTTTTGAACTTTCTATTCATCATAGAATTTTGGGGGGGGAAATGGCACACGAGTGTTTTCAACATCGAAAATAATAATTTATGTTTTTTGAGCATAAAATCAGCATATTAGAATGATTTCTGAAGGATCATGTGACACTGAAGACTGGAGTAATGATGTTGAAAATTCAGCTTTGATCACAGGAATAAATTACACTTCACTATATATTCACATAAAAAACCGCTGTTTTAAATTGTAATAATATTTCACAATATTACTGTTTTTTTTTGTGTATTTTTTATCAAATAATTGCAGCCTTGGAGAGCAGAAGAGCCTTCTTTTAAAAACATAAAAAAATCTTACCGATCTAAAACTTTTGACCGGTAGTGTATATATATATATATGTATATATGTGTGTGTGTATATATATGTATATTTAGGGCTGTGCAAAAATTAATTGCGATTAATCGCATCCAAAATAAAAGTCTGTGTTTACATAATATATGGGTGCACTGTGTATAATTATTTTGTACATATAAATACACACACATGCATATATATTTAAGAAAATGTGTTGTGTTAACATTTTAACACATTTAAAATGTGTTAAAATGTGTCGTATATAAAATATTTATATTTATATAATATAGATTATGTATTTATATATATATATACAGAATTTAATCGCAAATAATTCTTAAATATATACATGCATGCATAGGTATTTATATATACAGCACACACAAATATATTATGTAAATACAGACTTTTATTTTGGATGCAATTAATCGCAATTAATTTTTGCACAGCCCTAATATATATATATATATATATATATATATATATATATATATTTATGTAGCCACTCTGGAGAAAACCATGATATCATTGTCATAATGGTGTCGATGCAGATCAATAATAGAGTTCAATATTAAATGTCTCCATCTAAGCAAGCCAAAATCTATAGGCGCGAAGAGCGAGTTCTTGTTCAGTTTTTGTCCGACTAACAAAAGTTTGAAGATCACAACGAGTGTTTTTTGTGTCTCAGATTCCCAAGTTCATCCTGAATCAGGTGCGCAAGCATAACACGGAGAACCAGAGGAAGATGAACCGAGACCGAGCGGTGAAGAAGCTCCTGAAGAAGATGGCCTACGACCGCGAGAGAGCCTCCGACAAACAGGAGAAAAGCAACGAGGTACATCACACAAACACTGCAGTGAACTGAAGTATAGCGAGACTTCTGCAGGTGTGTGTGTGTGTGTGTGTGCGTGACATAGCTGTCAACTCTCGTTGTTTCCAGTTTTCTCACGTATTTTAGCTATTTTCCCGCTGTATTCCCGTTTTAGTATTTAGTATCCCGTATTTTTACGCTCTGACAGAAAACGCAGAAATCACGTGCAAGCTAGAAATAGAACCGACGCCTATTTTTCACGCGACACGCTTTGGAAGCGTTTCCAGGCAAAAAACTATAGGAAACGATGTTTATATGTCATTTTGTACACAAATACATATGAATAAATTACATTTTGATGTTTGAAAGTCTAGGTTTTGACATCAATTCAGATATCAATGTAATTTAAACAAATAATAATAATAATACATGTAAATATTGCCATTATTTTTGCCTATATTTATAATTTCAATTCAACAATCGAGTCCTGGTGTCCACTACAGAGGTCATAGCATAACATGAATAAAATATCTTCTTTTTTCCCCCATTTGTTTCTTATGCTCTTAACAATGTGATTACATAAAGAAGAAAAAAAAAAACTTTTTGGGCCTCAGGAGGATATAAAGATACACGATAGGCTAGAATAACAACTAAAGCCCGACCGATAAAGGATTTTGAAGGCCGATACCGATACAAATATTTTTGGGTTTTAAAATCCGATATATCGGCCGATGTTTTTTTTTTTTATTAAATATTGTTGTATTTCACACACACGTGTAAAAGAAAAGCTAACTTTTCTGCACAAGATACGTTTGATGCTTTTTCTCTCTGTCTAAATGTTCACTCCTCGCAAGTATAACTTACATTTTACAATGCAGGGACTGTAACTAGAGATATGCTAGTTATAAATACAGTAATCATTACTTTATTTAGGCAGAAAAAGTTCATTGTGGTTTCCAAGCTCATTAATGTTAACGTTAGCGGTCTTCCACTGATGATAGTGGCATTAGCTAGCTTTGTGGTTAGCTAGTCTATGATTAGCAATAGATAACATCATACTGCAAATTGTAAAACATACATTTTCAATATAACAGGCCAAGGAGAGATGATTGAAGCGCGTTTCGTCCGTTTTTATTTTATTTTTGAAATATTCATTTATCGGCCATTATGACTGCCGATACCGATATTGTGGAAAATGCCTAACATCGGCCGATATATCGGTCTGGCTCTAATACCAACAGAGTGTGTGTCCTGAGTGACGGTCCACCATCAGGCTAAATATAGGCTCTTTTAAGCTACACAAAGTGTGTAAATGTTATTGAAATAAACAGACAGCACACTTCCCTGTATTGTGGATTTTGGAAGATGTGTGATGACAGTTGAAATTGTTGTCGTAAAGGCAAAAGCAACACACCGCTAATCTAAATGTGGATTTTTTTTTTTTCTTTAAATGACACACTGTCATTGTCTATGTCGGCTAGTTATAAACTCTTTAGACTTTTAGTGATTAGTGCTTTATTTTTAAAGTTTGCGGGTAAGAATCGTGTAAAACAAATCCCTTATTTTGGGGATGGATTCTGGGAAATGTCCCTTATTTTCAATGTTCAATGTTGACAGCTATGGTGTGTGTGTGTGTGTGTGTGTGTGTCAGTGTTTCCACCCAGCTGAATGAATCAGAGTTTGAGAAAGTGAGTGACTGAAACGCACGGCTCCACTCTGACACCCAGTGGACGCACAGCACAAGTGCATGCTGGGACTGTCAGAGCAGTGCAGTCTGGTTATTATTGCACTGGATTTAAAGCTCTCAAAGGGTGTTGTTTCTATACACACAACAGATCCTGCAGATACAGACACATATACTGTATCATCATTTATATGCATATTTCCAAATGATCAAATCTTTGATCTACTAAGACATATTATTGTCAGATGTTAATATTTATATGCATTTTATGGAAATATCTGCTAAACATCTCAGAATTGACTGTTTCTATGCATTTGAACATCAGCATCTGCAGCAAAGTGCATATATGTGCTCAGTTCGAGTCGCTGTTTCTCTCTGACTGCATGAGCCAGAAAAGCTGATGGATCAAATATGGCACTCAACTACGGAGGCGTAATGCATTCACTTGAAGAAAAAAAATCTACTCTGTTTTTCTGAATTAACGAGTTAATTTTTCATGAGAAAAAAAAAATTTGCTCTGTTTTTCTGAATTAATGATTTAATTTTTCATGAGAAAAATTTTTTTTGCTGTTTTTCTGAATTAATGATTTAATTTTTCATGAGAAAAAAAATTAGCTGTTTTTCTGAATTAACGAGTTAATTTTTCATGAGAAAAAAATTGTTTGCTCTGTTTTTCTGAATTAATGAGTTAATTTTTCATGAGAAAAAAAATGTTTGCTCTGTTTTTCTGAATTAATGAGTTAATTTTTCATGAGAAAAAAAACGTTTGCTCTGTTTTTCTGAATTAACGAGTTAATTTTTCATGAGAAAAAAAATTTGCTCTGTTTTTCTGAATTAATGAGTTAAATTTTCATGAGAAAAAATTTTTTGCTCTGTTTTTCTGAATTAATGAGTTAATTTTTCATGAGAAAAAAAAACGTTTGCTCTGTTTTTCTGAATTAATGAGTTAATTTTTCATGAGAAAAAAAAACGTTTGCTCTGTTTTTCTGAATTAACGAGTTAATTTTTCATGAGAAAAAAAATTTGCTCTGTTTTTCTGAATTAATGAGTTAAATTTTCATGAGAAAAATTTTTTGCTCTGTTTTTCTGAATTAATGAGTTAATTTTTCATGAGAAAAAAATCGTTTGCTCTGTTTTTCTGAATTAATGAGTTAAATTTTCATGAGAAAAAATTTTTTTGCTCTGTTTTTCTGAATTAACGAGTTAATTTTTCATGAGAAAAAAAATTTGCTCTGTTTTTCTGAATTAATGAGTTAAATTTTCATGAGAAAAAAAGTTTTTGCTCTGTTTTTCTGAATTAATGAGTTAATTTTTCATGAGAAAATTTATTTTTGCTGTTTTTCTGAATTAATTCATTAATTCAGAAAAACAGAGCAAAAAAATGCATTAAAAATTAACTCATTAATTCAGAAAAACAGAGCAAAAAAAAATTTTCTCATGAAAAATTAACTCGTTAATTTAGAAAAACAGAGTAGATTTTTTTTCTTCAAGTGAATGCAATACGCCTCCGTACTCAACAAAAACATACACAAACTTTTTATTATTATTATTATTATATTTGATCTAAAGGTTGAATAAAAACAAGTGTTTTTATTCCACACGTCAGGCTTGTGACTGGGCAGTCTGGACTGAGTGTGTGTGTTACTGGAGTACATGTTTGGCTGTAGTGCAGATGTGTGTGTTCAGGCTGACGGAGGCTTCATACGGGTTCAGGCGCCGCAGTTCTCCATGGTGTCCATGGCCGTTCAGCTGACGGAGGATTTGAAGGCCTCGGATGTGCTGGCACGCTTCCTCAGCCAGGAGAGGTGAGCAAACACACTCCGTCAGACAGCCGTACACCGCCTCGTGTGCTGTGCTCAGCGAGACTGACTGCGAGGTGTGTTACAGGTGTGTGTCTGTGAGGAGAGAGGATCTGTGTCTCTATGAGATGGGAGGAAACATCAGTGAGTATCTCAGCACACACTGCTGAAGGCCAATCAGAGCCTGCAGATGAACACACAGCTGCGTATGGGTCTTATCCACACACACTTGCTAAGATTAATACATTCAGTTTGATTGTAAAACCAGGGGCCGGATTAACAAAACATTCTTAAAGGATTAGTTCACTTTTAAAAAAACTTTTGCTGATAATTTATTCACCCCCATGTCATCCAAGATGTCCATGTCTTTCTTTCTTCAGTCGAAAACAAATTAAGGTTTTTGATGAAAACATTCCAGGATTTTTCTCTATATAATGGACTTCAATGGGAACCAAACGGTTCAAGGTCCAAAAGAGTGTTCAAAGGGCTTTAAACGACTCCAGACGATGAATAAGGGTCTTATCAAGCGAAACGATCGCTCATTTAAAAAATGACTTGAAAAAAGATTCGTTCATTTTGATGAAGGAATTCGAACAGGAGAGTCACGAACGCGGTTCACAGAACAGAGCAAGGCGAGCATTTGAGCTTTTAAAACTTAAACTTTGTTATTTATTTATTAAATGAGCGATCGTTTCGCTTGATAAGACCCTAACTTTTCATATGGTATTTTAATACAAGGTTATTATCAATAAATTTAGATTTTTTTTTTTACCTGCAATATGCTCTTAAAACAGAAATACTCAGCAATGCTGTCCACTTATGAATTTACACACGGTGAGTCTTAAAGCGTATAAAAATTAAGGATTTTAATGAAAACATTCCAGGATGTTCTCCATGTAATGGACTTCAATGGGAACCAAACGGTTCAAGTACAAACTGCAAACTGTTCAAAGGGCTTTAAACGATTCCAGACGAATGAATAAGGGTCTTATCAAGCGAAACGATCGCTCATTTAAAAAATGACTTGAAAAAAGATTCGTTCATTTTGATAAATGAGCTCGAACAGGAGAGTCACGAACGCGGTTCACAGAACAGAGCAAGGCGAGCATTTGAGCTTATAAAACTTAAACTTTGTTATTTATTTATTAAATGAGCGATCGTTTCACTTGATAAGACCCTTATTCATCGTCTGAAATTGTTTAAAGCACTTTGAACAGTTTGCACTGAAACTGTCTTTTGGACCTTGAACCGTTTGGTTCCCATTGAAGTCCATTATATGGAGAAAAATCCTGGAATGTTTTCATCAAAAACCTTAATTTCTTTTCGACTGAGGAAAGAAAGACATGGACATCTTGGATGACATGGGGGTGAGTAAATTATCAGCAAAAGTTTTTTTTAAAGTGAACTACTCCTTTAAGGATAAATTACTTTCTTACTGCTGTTTTCCAGCAAAGAGTTACAAATATGTGTAGTCCCCAAAACGTTTCTCAATAGACAAAACTTAAAGTCCCTGTAGCCTATAATTGTAGCTCTTAAAACTCATCTCTGATCACCAAAATTACATATTTAAAGTTTTTTCCTGTGAAAAAAAAAAATCTTCGTGCATAAAATATCTTGAATGTAATTCGACACCCTTGCCTCATTTAGTATGCGCGGTTCTATGAATATGCAAATTAGCTCCGCCTCCACTCACTCACTCACTCAAAGATCCACTGGTTGACAATCACACGTTGATCTGATTGGTCGTTAGTGACGTCAGAAACACAAACCGTGTTGGTTCACTGCAGTTTTAAAGGGCATATTGCAGGTTAGAGGACCCAACGAGTCAATGCATAGAAAAATAATGTAGGAACTAGATTCTCCTGCATTAACTTTTCATATGGTATTTTAATACAAGGTTATCTATAAACCTGCAATATGCTCTTAAAACAGAAAATACTCAGCAATGCTGTCCACTTATGAATTTACACACGGTGAGTCTTAAAGCGTATAAAAACACCACATATAGACACATAAACAACATTAAAAGCTGGATTTTACCACAGGGGGACTTTAAGCAGAATTGTTCTTAATAATCATCATAAATAACCTCTCAAAGGTAGGCTTCAGTTCTCAAAGGTCAAAGATGTTAAATGAATGTGTTGGTTAGTTTCAAATATGAAACATTACAATCAAGGAACAAGGAATGTGCACTCTGAAGTGGCACTCATCTGACGTGTGTGTGTGTGTGTGTGTGTGTAGAGGAGAGATGTCTGGATGAAGAGACGTACATCAAAGCGCTCCTGGAGCTCAACCCCAGTGCAGAGTGGGTCATTAAATCTGTCCAGCACTGAGCCACGACTACACAAGCCAATCCGCCCATCACGCCACGTGCCTCACACACCACAGGGGTGTGTCCAACGGGGAACCGCAGTTCTTCATCAGGCGTACGGTCCATCCCGTCCTCTACCGACACGGCACATCTCTCTCCCGGGACAGAACCCACACACACACACACACACACACACTTCTCATGAGACGCGAGTGGCAGTTCTACATACAGCATTTGTACTAGAAGCCAAAATTTTGTCAGGTATATCACATTTCATTGCTTTCAAGGGACAGATTGTTTGATTAGTACTAGAACCAGACGTTTTCTCAAAAACTCACAAAAAATGTCCGGGTCATATTTCACATCGGAAGAAGAGAGAGAGAAAAAGAAACGATGATTTGCGATGATTTGTCATGATTAAACACATTACCCTCCAATGTCTCATTACTGTGTGCATCTTGAACTTTTTCTTTTGTAATTCTATTTATTCTCATTAGATTAGATTCTCACCACTACTGATGGACTGAAATAAATATGTATATGTGTATATACACACACACTATATTGTGTTTTTGTAATTTAGAAAATACAGTCCATACAGAAATATGACCTGAACATGATCTTTATAGGTTTTGAGAGGTGCACCTAGCCACAAATCTCATGCCTATGTCATTTATATATATATATATATATATATATGGTCTCGGATCATTTAAGGACTGAGGTACAATTACATTTCTTCTTTAAACGTGATTATATGTGAATGATCTCTTGTAGTATTGTGGCAATCCCTACTTTAAATCAGTCACATGACCATTTCCCCAGCTCTCACTGCCAATAAAATGTCTCTGTATTACCTGTTCGGTCGCTCCCAGGGATCTTGAATGTGCTTTTATTCATGTTGGAGAAAATAATGTTGCTTCAAGTGAAGGGATATTGGAGATCTTTAAAGGATTGGTGTTTCTCAGCTTAACACACCTGAAAAAGTACGTCCGTGGAGGGAAACACTTGGCACTAACACTGACCTCTGTTATTTCAATGAGTAGTTTTGAGCTGTGATTTTTTAAAAACTAATACATCAATTGCTGATGTTATGCTTTTACTGTGAACATGGCTGAATATGACTGTTGCTGTATGTTAAATGCTTCTCAAATAACCACTAAATGTTTTTTTGTTTTTTTTGTAAATAAATGTGTAATTCCTCAACTTTGTCAACTCTGGTCTGGTCAGTGATGGTGTGTAGCGTAGAGAAGGAGAATCGTGACATGTTTTGGCCTTCTGGGATTGGTTACCCGTGTGTCCCAAGATGGACTGCCGTCGGTACTGTGGTTCAGGCCTAAAGAAACTGAGGATTGCCTAAAGAAATCTTATCTTGTTTAGGATGACGCAGGTGAGACCTTCGTCTCGATAGTGCACGTGATTTTACAGTATGCTGCACGTTGAACTGCTGCAGAACTAATAAATCAACATTGCAAGTGCGCATGTACAGGAAAAATACCAACTGCAATACTGCAAATGTCCGCTAGATGGCGATTATATACCATGACAATGGGCAGAACAGCGCTTTTCTGCGGCACAAACAAGCTGCTGCTTTGCGTTTCATATTAGCTAATAGCTACCATCTGTGTCTTTCTCATTGAGCTTGCATGTTTTTTTTTTTGCTTATTTTTACTGGCCCATTCAGTTTCACAAATAGCCTATATGAACCGGAGAAGACGTGAATGACTGCTTCATGAGTGATGATTTCTATTCAAAATAGTGAACTTTAGGCTACAGATTAATAATTTTGCTCTCCTGTCATAAATTAATAAATGAATGTCACTGCAAACCAGTTTTATAAACTAGTCAACTATCGAAACGGGAGTCTTAAATCTTTCCAATGATGCAGTTTGTCCAGTTCAAATAAGTACGAGTGTGATGCTTTAATGAATAATGAATGTTGAACAACAATAATCTTCTGCGAAAGGGGTTAAATGAGTGTATTGAGATGATACAATTCCCCCCCCCCCCCTTTTTTTATTAAAAAAATACAAAAAAATAAAGACTTGCTGCCCCCCCTGGTATTCTACCTGCACCCCCTAGTGGGGCTGGCTGAATCCGGCCCTGATTGTGATCCAGTTCGGTATTGAAACAGAAAACTACGGTCCTGAAACTGCGGTCCTAGAACTGGGGTCCTGAAACTGCAGCCTCCGGTTCTGCAGGAATAGCTTTCTAATGTCTGATACTTTTTTAATTTTTACATTTTTAAATTATTATTTTATTACTGATAATATAGCCACGTCAAACAATTCACAGATTTTTGGTAGCCTTATTTCATGCTTTAAGAATTGAATTTTAAACTTGCATTTTGGAGCTAATTATATTTCACTTGTTATATTTTTATTTAATATTTACAATCAGGCACGCGCTCTGCTCACGCGCGCGGCTTTCGGGTCCGCGTGCGTGCATTTGAGCATTTGCGTTGCTATGGTGACGCGTCTTATGAATTTTGAATGCAAATATCAACACTTTGATCGCTGTTGGTTGGTTGAGAGTCGAGGCAATTTCAGAGACTTTTGCTGAAAATTTTCTTGTGCTGAACTTGAGATTTTGAAGCTGTTCGGAGGATTTCAGAGAGGAGACTTTTATTCTAGAAGGAGATCGGATATCCTAGCTAACGCTACATCGTTTTATTTATTTTTATTTAATATTATTTCTGAGGACGCTTTAATTTGATTGTTCTTTTCTTATTTTTGAGGGAATTTTGGAGTTTTGTTTTATTTATTATTGTTTATTTATTTTTATTTATTTTTTTGGGGGTGGGGTATTTCTGAGTATTTTGGGTGGGGTATTACTGAGGTGGGGTATTTCATTGTATTTTATTGTATTGTATTTTAAATTGTATTGCTCTTGTTTGCAGGAGGATGGCAGGCCCGACCCGGACTCAGAGCCAGGAGCTTATTCCTGGATCTTTAACATCTCTGTCTTGTGAGTTTGTTTCTGTGTCCACAGGTCCGGCTCACAGGAAGAGAGAGTGGCAGAGAGACGGCCAGCAGAGCCCAGATGATGGACGTCCGTCCACTTCTCCTCAGTCAAGACTCTCGCAGAGCAAAGGCAAAGGTAGGGTGACCAATAGTCCTGTTTTCACGTCCTGTCCTGGCCCTCCTGGCTGTTCTTTATAAAGTGATGAAAATGTCCTGGTTTTCAAAAAACTGCTGGGAAAGATCAGCTCTACAGCAAAATATAGATGGGCAAGGAAGAAAAACAGGATAAAGAGGAAGAAAACTAAAGATATAAATATATTTTGTTAGTTCTTTTTGGTAAGTTTGTGAAAGATATTTTTGTTCGATTTGGAGGTATTTCTTTTAATTATTTATTATTTATATATTTACTTTTGTAATACAGAACAGACATTTCGTTATTTTTGAAACCTGTCATAATAAAACGTTGAGTAACCTCTGAGAAGCCAATCTGAATTTGTGTCTTGTAATGTAACAATTTTCTATTTATACAGAGGAGGAATAGCCTACTTTCATTGTATTGAAATTAATAAGGCATCTTTGAGTAAACTTTGAGTATCTGTTTGCTGGGCCGAGTGTCCTGGTTTTTGGTAATCAAAATATGGTCCCCCTAGACAGAGGAAGAGGAGATGCCAATGAGGAAGAGGAGGAGGATGGAGAGTTTGGTGAAGCCTCATTCCTGTGACTGGAGCGGCATCATCCCAGACCGGAGAACTGCAGCGATACCTGAGAGAAGAGCTGAGGGTAAATCAAATGACCATTGGAGAATATTATCACTGGAGTGTCATTAATTACCATATATGACCACACCACATTATATCAAAATACAACTGAAGTTTGATCAAGCCGATAATCAGATTTATTTTTTATTCCAAGACACATCAAAACATATTTAAACAAGGATTGGGTACAAATTTCAACAATAGCCATAATTTGAGTTTAATAATTATGATTAGTTTGAAACATGCTTGTGTGTGATATTCCTGCTTTAGAGGATCATGGTCTTCAGGACGCTGTATCCAGTGGTGTTGAAGATCAGCGGGTTCAAACCCCTCCAGCTCCAGCTCTTCTCCAGGAATGCTTTAAGGTATTGGCCCTAATCAGCTACAAATCAATTTGAATATATATATATATATATATATATATATATATATATTTGTGCACATGTTTGAAATGTTCTTTGTTTATTGTGATCTGGGAAGAAATGAAGGTCAAATCTCTTGTGTGTGCTCTGTGTAAATCATCAGCCTGTTAGTGAGGAAAGTGCTAGTCAGGAGAGAGCGAGGAAGAAGAGTAGTGTAGATCCGCTGTCTCTCCACTGGAGTTCTGGAGAGCATCTCTCTCTTCACAGCAGTGGCTCAGGTCAGGGGTCGAGAGTGGAGGATCAGACCACTGCAACCATTAGTGAGAGACACGCCGAGGGTAAATCCAGTCGCACCAGTTGACAATGTGGAAATGCTCTGTTTATTAGTGCTCTGTACATCAGAAAGTCTGCATCATTTTCAGCCAGATATGAGGATCCATTCATGGAAACTTAATTAATTAATGAAGGGGATTTTTCTGTTCCCTCGGATGAAGTGCCATTAATGTCACAAACTCACACCTGTATCAAAATCCAAACGTTTGATCAAAGTATGTCTTAAATATTTAAACAGAACTTTTATTTTGTAAAGCAGAGCATCCTGGTCTTCAGCGGGTTCAAACCCCTCCAGCTCCAGTCCACCACAGTCCAGTCCGTCCAGCACCGGCTCACAGCGACAGAGCGGACGCGACAGCGGAGGGTGAGTGACGGCCGTGACCTCAAGCATTAAACTCACGGCTGTCCATGACACTAAAACCAATCGTGTTTTTGCAGACGGCATTTTGAGGCGGTATGAGATGGGCAGAATGCTTGGTGAGGGATCGTTCGGCTCTGTTTATGAAGCCAAACGCTTGGAGGACGGCCTTCAGGTATCCGCATTTGCTCACAATTCAACAATTTCAAGTCTTTTAGTGGATATTTCCCACTATTTACTGCATTTGACGTTAGAAATGTAACGTTGTTTTTTCGGTCGATCAGGTGGCGGTGAAAATTGCCAGTAAGCCGAAGGACACGAAATACATCCACATTGTAAGTCGGCTACACTCACTGTGTGTTTCTGAAATGAAAGTATGTAAAGATAATGACAACACCTTCATATAACAATGATCTTTGTTCCAGCCTGGTCATCCCGCACCCGTCCCATTAGAGGTCGGCCTGTTGACCCTTGCTAACAGCGGCCCCAAAGTCTCCGAGATCATCGAGCTGCTGGACTGGCAGGACCAGCCGGACCGATACATCATGGTCTTGGAGCGTCCCGCACCCTGTACAGATCTGTGGGAGTACTGGAACGATCACGAAGGAATCCTACATGAGGACACAGCGCGGGTTATTATGGCGCAGGCAACAGTGGCGGCTCACGTGTGCTGTCGCCGTGGAGTGTTTCACCGGGATATTAAGCTGGAGAACCTGCTGATCAACACCGAAACTCTGGAGGTCAAACTGATCGACTTCGGGTGCGGGGATCTCCTGCGGGACTCTGGCTATGAAACATTCTGTGGTATGAATCATCAATCAATCCTGTAGTTTGGGTTCAGTCGGTGTCATATAAACCAGATCTCACATTTGAGGAGCGTTTTGGAAATGAAACACACCAGATGTTTTTAGCACATGCTCTGGTATTCACCCATCAGACGACTCTTCTTCCTGCAGGCACTCGCGACTACCGCCCGCCTGAGTACCTCACAGAGGGCAAGTACCACGGCAAACCAGCGACGGTGTGGTCTCTGGGAGTGCTCTTATTCCTGCTGGTGTGTGGACGCCTTCCAGAAGCACGAGACAGGCGAAGGATAGAAGAAGACGTCTGGTCTAAGCCGCGCTTGTCCAACGGTAAGATGCCGTTCATCACAACAACTGTCATTTAAATCATACAAAACAAAGACATTATGAGAAAGTTACAGCAAAAGATAGATATTGGAGAATACAAGCATTTGTTCAGGTTTTCTGAGCGTACTTTATAGAATAGTGTAATCTTCCAGCTTAACACACAGACAGCCGGTGTAAAGTTGAAGGTAATAATCGGACTCGCTTCTATCGCTCTGGACAGAATGCTGCCTCCTGATCCGATCCCTCCTGAAGGAAAGCCCAAGACAACGCATTTATTTGAGGAAAATCCTTCAGCATCAATGGTTTACGGTAATGAGCCTCAGATCAGCTACTAATGATTTAGAAGATTAAACTCACTTTTCATTTGAAAGATTTTATTTCTGATTGTAATCTATGACTGTAACCTTGTTTGTTTGTTTGGGGTCCCAGAATAAGCCATGAAGAGGAGTGTGAGGAAGGATTGGACTCTTAGTTCGTGTGAAAGCTGCTCTCCACAGATCCTGCACTGGATCCAGAGTTTCAGTCTTCGGCTGCTTTACAGATTTTTTTAACCTTTTGTACTTTGACTGAATCGTCGGCTCGTCTGTTTGCTATTCTCCTCGCTGCCGGCTGTGAGTTTGGTTGCGTCGTGGCTGTCTAAGCCTCGTATTAGCTTCGCATTTCCTTATTTCTTTCTTTTATTCTATTTTAAACCATCATTTAACTCATAATTACAACTCGGACTGTTGGTCAGACGCGTCTCATGCCATTATACAGCTGGAACTGTAAATACGGCTGGAGCGTTTGGTTGTTGGTTGTAGAGCGAGACACTGCTTCACTGCTGCTCGCCCTGCGATCGACTAGACTAAAGACGTATTTATTTAGCCAGGCATTCATATAATCTTTGTTTTTTTTATCTTATCTTATAGTTACTGTAAATTTGGCCTCTAGTTGATAAACGCCAGAGGAGAACTGGCCCCCGACTGAGCCTTTTTCTCCATCGGGTCACTTGATGGAGTTTTTCGGTTCCTTGCCACTGTCGCCTTTGGCTTGCTCAGTTGGGGATATTCAGATTAAATGACCCATCATACCATTGATCAGCTCCACCAAACTTGGATGTTTTTTTTTTTCCAGTAATAAACAAACACTGTTAAGTTCTTTTGATTGATACTGTGAAGCAGATTTGATATAATCTGTATTGTGATTATTATTATTATTCTTGTATAATGTATTCTTGTATAATGGCTGTTATTGTTTATTAACTATTATTGATCAGTAAATAATATTTTGTAATAAAAATATATTGGCGTACCTGATTTTGAGAGATGGTGTGTGTGTTTGACCGCTTAACACTGTGATTGCTTTCAGGATATGAGGAGACTTTCAACCTGCATAATAAAGAAATAAATTGTAGACAGTCACCTATTGCACCTCAGCATTTTCCACACACTTTTATCTTTATATGGAAAAAAATATATCCTCTATCCACCTTATTTTCATTTAAAAAAAATGTAATGCCAAGGTATCAAAAATACAAGTACATAGCAAAAATGTAAAAGTAACATACAATTATATGATAATAAAATCCATATTTAATACATATATACATGGGCCTATACATAGAGGTTTCATATAGCCTATATATACACATAAAAACAGAACAGAAAACTTGAATGAAATGAGTTAAAAAGTTGAAACAAGGTTATTGAGCTTTAAGATTCTCAGATGATGAAATATTTTGGATGTACTGTACGGTCTCTCCTAAAAAGAGTGAATAAAGGATTTTGAAGAGAGAATTTAATAGCAATAATAGATTAATAATAAAGTATTCATTCGTTTGAGCTTTTTGTATATTAAAAAAGCAAAACATTACGTCCTCAAAAAAGAGAGAGAAACCCTTAAGAACATCGCAGTTAATTCGTCCCAAAATTGGTCTCAAAACAGTTGTGTGTGTGTGTGTGTGTGTGTGGACAATCCCAGAAGATGTGAGGAGCAGTTTCATCAAGGCACCACAGAAAGAACAACGTGGGTAACACTTTATTTGAAGGGGTGTGCATAAGACTGACATGACAGTGTCATAAACATGACCTAACACCTGTCATGAACATGAAGGAGTCTTCATGAATGTTTATGACTGTTGTCATTAAGTGTCATTCGGTAAATTATGACACTTTTAATGCAAAGTTGACATTGTTTAAAATGTCTTTTTTTATGACAACATGACATTAACCAAGAAATCATAACTAGTCCAACGTGTTCCACTTTACTTGAGGTAAGGGGAAATATTAATGACACTGTTGTTAAAGCATTTGACCGTGTAATGACCCTTAATGACATCTTTATAACTAGTACAATGTGTTTACTTGAGGACAAGTGAAATATTCATGTCACAGTTATAATGGTGTCATGACGGCCAAAGTTAAAACCAACCATAAGACAGGGTAATGTAATGTTAACACAAAGCTAAATAACTTCTTTAGGTTTGATAATTAGACCAGTTGTGACATATTTCAACAAGTTATGACAAGTTCAGCTAGTTTTTTAAGTGAGTTAAATTAAGCAGAAATGACTTAAGCTGATTGTACTTAAAAATATAAGGCAGCAACTTTTGTTACAGTGCAGCTGGGTTTTGTAATTATTATGAAATAACAGAAACAATAGAACATGTGCTTGTGCATGTTGTTTGTTGCAGGAATTATGAAAAGGAGAGAAATTACATGATGAAAGAAATTGAAAAAATTTAGGAAGAACATGATGTGTAATAAAGAAAATATGGAATTCTGGAGAAGTGAAGAGCTGCTCCCTAAAAGAAATGTGACCATTCTTGTTGTATCTTGAATATTGCCGTGTGATTCCTGTCCACATCATTACTGTTTTAAATTCATATGCCTCATAATCTTGAATCAGAATATTTATAGCATCTCTTTTCTTCTCTGATGACGAGGACGGGGCAACCTGTCAATCACACGAGATTAGCCAATAGCAAACCACAACCACCCAATCAATTCCCCGCAGACACAATCTGTATCTTCAGTACAGTAAAACACGGGTCTCTTATATGCCACGGACCTCCATATACAATATTTCTCATTTGAGATACTCCCATCCAAAAATTTAAAAGGCAGCTATATTTATTTTATGGAAAAAGACTCAATTTATACCGAGATAAATGAGTAAATTATTATTTGTAAAATACATTTTAAAAAGTGTATGCAGTTCTGTACGGTTTATTATTTATTTGTTTATTTTATTCTTGTTTTAAACATTTATTTCAATGTATTTTATTAATATCAACTTCTTTTAGTCTATGTTATTTTATGTATTTTAATTCATTTAGTTACACCAAATTCGTATTTTAAAACATTTTTTTATTCATCTTAATCTTCTTAATTATTTATTTCTATTTGAAAACTTGTCCCTGGACCCCTCAGTGCTCTCCCGTGTAATACACGACATGGAATTATTGCTTTACTTTAAAGGATGTTACCTTGTATTATGAAAATAAAAGTAATAAGGATCTGGAATTTATTGTTAACCTTTTTATCTTATTAGCAAAATTTCACATACATAAACAAAAATTCCTTAATTCATCTCCTATGTTAAATTTATTTTGTTATGACTTTGATTCCTACATTTCTTCAATAAGATTGTTAAAAAATGAAAAATCTGTGAAATATTTACAATGCTATGATGCACTCTTCAATACCCCTGGTGTTTTGTAATACTCTTATTTGTTAAAATTGAATGTGAACTATGCTCTATTATTTATTTATGTATTTATTTTTGTTTTGGTTGTTTATGTTCTGTTATTGTCTGTATATGTTACCTTTCTGCAATAAAAAAAAAATTAAAAAATTAAATTAAAAAAAATAATAATACACGACATGGACGCTTCAGACTCCTGTCCACTAGCTGGCGCAAAATAAATGCACTCCATAACACCGCCATATTATGAGAAGAAGAGATATGGCGATCTCCTGTGAGGATCTTATAGGAACTTTCCGAGAGTCTTTAAAAGCGCACGGTTTTGAAATTTATCCATTTAAGGTAATATGTCCTTCTCCACGAACATAATCAAATCAAACAGGCTCGATAAGGAAAGTATTTGGCGTCTGTATGTTATAGTGGTTCATGTGTTACAATAGGTGCGTTCCATTCGACAGGGTCCCTACACAAGTGTTCATTGCTCCCTACTCCCTGAACACGGTATATCAGTTGAAGTGGACTTCACTGACTTACTGTGAAGTGATGTATGTTCCCTTATTCCCTATGCCATGTTCGTTCCCTTCGAATTGGAATCTCACTTAAGATGGCAAAATACCCTGTGAAGTCCACTTCGCAGTCCACTTACGGTCGAATGGAACGCACCCAATGTCAAGTCTATCCACGTGAAACTAGTTCTGCTCATCTTTCATAAGCAGTCAAACCCACCTGTGCGCTTGCGCATAAGTGGGGAATAAACATGTTTAGACGTCATTTGTGTGTTATACAGCTCTGAATGTGACCACTAAAAGTGTTGAGCTGAGCCTCAGTTTGTATGGTTGTTATTACTCATAATATTTGTGTTTTATGGCAGGTTGGCTGGTACAATGCAGTGCTCTCTGATGGCCATCACCTCCCTTACCCAGCAGACACTCTGGCTGTGGTGGTCCTCAGCACTCCGGCCATGTTTGAGCGCTCGTTCCTGCCCTTCTTACAGAGCCAGCGCTGTGAGGGCCTCAGGGACCCCATAGATCAGTGCAGCGCACACACCATCTCAGCCTGTGTCTCACTGGTATGATTTAATGCAGGACAACAAAGTTCATATACACTGCCGCTGCTTTTTCTTCTGGTTCACAATCACATCATAACTTGACCTTTTAACTTGACTTGACCTCCTTTTGTGGTTGGATTTATTTTTTTTCTTCTGTTTTTATCTAGAGCAGGAGTTTTCTAACTGGGGTCCGGGACCCACAAGGTGGAATAGCTTAGAGAAAAACAGTGTAAAAATAAATTTGATTAAAATGAAAAATAAATAAATAAAACCAAATTAACTTGTAAATCTTGTAGCACTCTGAATCAGCATGCTCCAATTTTCTGTCATAATCATTTTATCATTTGTTAACAAACAAGTATTCATTACCTCAACGAGCTCATTGCTTCTTCTCATTATTACAATGTTTAAATTAATAAATGTTTACCTAACTGTGTACATTTCTGAAATACATAACTAGTTTCCTCTGATAACTCCGATCACTTTAAATTGTAGTTTGGACTCGATGTGTATTGTGAAAAGCACTATACAAATAAATGTGAATTGAACTTTACAATAAAGTTAATTTGTTAACATTAGTTAATGTATTAACTAACATGAACAATATATATTACTGTATGTTGGTTAATAAAAATACAGTCGTTAATTGTTGGTTCAGAGTGCATTAACTAATATTAGCTAAAATAACTTTTGATTTTAATGTATTAAAAAACAGCATTAACTAAGATTAATAAATGCTGTTGAAGTATTGTTAATCCTTAGTTCACGTACATTTAGTAAAGTGTTATCGTAAATAATTAGTTGATACGTTAGATGAATAGAAATTTAATTTAGTAAAATAAATAAAATTGATTTGAATAAATAATAAATGAATGCATTTGATTAAAATAAATACATTTTGATCTAAATAAATACATAAAGTTTATAAATAAATAACGAGAGCAGTGATTAAAATAAGTACTAAATAAATACATTGATTAAAATAAAAAAAGATAACAATAAGTAAATTAAATTTGATTTAAATAAAGAAACTATTAGATTACAAAACATTTAACTACTAATATTAATAGAAAAATGCAGTAATTTAATAGAAAATAAATATTTTTCACATTTATAATTTAAATTTTCCACAGTATTAATTGGCTCTTTATACATGAATATATATATATTTTAGGGTGGGTGACCCTCACATGAGGATGATGATATTTTTGGGTCTGTAGCAATCTAAAAGAGTCCTGTGTCCATTATCTGACCATACGTTTATCTCTCTCTCTCTCTCTCTGTTTTCACTCAGTGTTTTCCCGATCAGTCTGTGGATATCAGTTATGATTATGAGATGCTGCCCAGCAGAAGACCCAAGTTCCTCGCACAGACCGCCGCACACATATCAGGAGCAGCGTATTACTACCAGAAAATCAGACATCCACAGTCCACCGTGGGCTGATAAGGTCATCATGTTTATCACGCTTTATGATTCATCAGAAAACAAAATTATTTGTGCTGTGACAGGCTTATGAAAAAAACAACATGTTACAACTCTAAGTTTCATGCAATTTAAAGGGTTAGTTCACCCAAAAATGAAAATTAAGTCATTAATTACTCACCCCCATGCTGTACCAACCCCGTAAGACCTTCGTTCATCTTCGGAACACAAATAAAGATATTTTTGATTGAATCTGAGGGCTGGATCACTCTTCCATAGACAGCCTGAGGGACTGCCTCTTGACGGCCCAGAAAGTCATTAAAAGAAAAGGTTTAAATGTTCCATGTGCCTACAGTGGCTCAACTATAACTTTATCAAGCGACGAGACTACTTTTTGTGCGAAAAAAAACGTAAATAACGACTTTATTCGACTTTCCATTACTTCCTTATGGGCGCATGCGCGAGAACTGAGACGAGACCGTTCTTCTTCGACTACTTTTTGTTACCGGCTGCTCACCGCTTAGGAGTTTTACCGCCCCCTACCGTATAAGATGACGTACTGCTTGTAAACAGAACGTTTTGCGCCTCCGGCTATATCAGTACGTCACCTTATACGATGAATAAGGGTCTTATCATGCGAAACGATCGGTTATTTCAAAACTTATTCCAAAAATGTAACTTTTCTAAGGACAAATGCTAGCCTTTCTCCATTCTGTGAGGCGCGTTTGTAACGTCACGTAATACGTAATTACGTTCAAAAGGTCACGGGCGACGTAGCCGGAAGTACAGAGTCAGAGTGTTTACAAGTTGAACGCATAGGTTGAACGTGAAAACTAACTCAAACGCCATTTGCAAAAAAAGGAATTCAAAGGTAAAACAACGATGTCGGACGATTTTGATTCTGTACTTCCGGCTACGTCGCCCGTGACCTTTTGAACGTAATTACGTATTATGTGACGTTACAAATGTGCCTCACAGAATAGAGCAAGGTTACAGAATTATTCACAGAATAACCGATCGATAAGACCCTTATTCATCGTCTGGTGTCGTTTAAAGACATTTGAAGCTGCATCTGAAACTGTTATTAACTGTCGTTTGGACCGTTTGGTTCCCATTGAAGTCCATTATATGGAGAAAAATCCTTGAATGTTTTCATCAAAAACCTTAATTTCTTTCCGACTGAAGAAAGAAAGACATGGACATCTTGGATGACACGGGGGTGAGTAAATTATCAGCAAAAGTTTTTTCAAAAGTGAACTAATCCTTTAAGGGCGTGGCCACTTGAGTGACAGGTGCCGCTGCTTTCACTGCTAGTTGTTTGTCTGCTGTCTGTTAGCGTCACCCTCAGCTATGTTTGTGCTTTTTCCGGGATTATTTCATACAATTTAATACATGTATTATAGCCTACCTTTGTCCGTGACCAAAAAATCGACCAGGAAATTTCGTAGACCATCAGGATATTTTTTTTTTGGTAATTAAAAAAAAAAAAAGATTAAGAAAGCCACCGCTACTGGTCACATCTATGGTTAGATTGATGGTCAGATCGCAGCTTTGAGCGTTTCTGGAGTTTTCAAAACAATTGCTGGCTTAACGTTACTGACCGCCATGTTTGTCGTTTTAATGTCCTTCCACCTCGCGCGCATGTGTGAATTCAATGAGGTGGCAAGTTAAAGGTCAAATGTAGGCCTATTATTAAATCAATGCACTGAGTTAAGGATCGATCTTTAGAAATTAATATGAAATCGATTCAGAATTGGTGAATCGATTTTTTTTCAATACAGCCCTTGATAAAAATATTCAAACACGCTAACTACAAGTGTGTGCTGAGAATCTCCAGCCCGTTCTCATCCCAAGTCGTCATATACTGACGCTTTTGACATTTCGTCTAAATCCAACGCACATGGCACCCTTCGGCGTCAATATGAGACGCAGATATCTATGGGTCAGAGGACGCCTCCTAGTGGTCTAACCCTAACCCTACCCCAGACCTAAACCTACCATAACCGAAGCGTGTTATATTGACGCTAAAGTGTGCCATGTGCGTTAGATTTAGACGAAATTTCAAAAGCGTCAGTATATGACGCCCTAGGATAAGCACGCGTTGGAATCTCCATGTCTTCCTGAATCTATAAGTATATTTATATAGCGCTTTTCACAATATAGATTGCATCAAAGTTCAAAAGTATTGCATCAAAGTTCAATTTTCAAAAGTAAAAGTTCAAAGCTTCAAAGTATCAATCAAAACATAATAACAATGTTCGTTTCTTTGTGGAAAAACATCCACGTTTGGTAGAGCTGATCGATGGTTTTACTGATTGGTTAATTAATTTGAATATCCCCAACTGAGCAAGCCAAAGGCATCTCTGATACATGTTTTTATAAAGACAAACAAAAATATGCATCACAGTTTTTGTATGTCATTGTGTTGCACATAGTCTATATGTGACTATAGTCACCCCCTAACCCTAACAAGCAAGTCTCGTCTATGCTAATGTGGAATAGAAAGATATTGCCTGCTGTTCCTGGAAGTCTTTCTCTTTATTCTACACAGAAGATGTTTGGAGTCTGTATACACCCCAGGCTGGGCGGCTGGTTTGCTATACGAGCCCTGCTGGTCTTCCAGGATGTGCGAGTGGGAGCGGATCTCCAGCAGAAAGATCCTCCAGACTGTGTGCGCTCACAGGAGGACCGGATCGAGCTGCTGGAGAGGTTTAACTTCCACTGGCAGGACGGGAGCTATAGAGACATTGTGTCCACAGAGGAGAGGTACTCAGACCAGCAGATAGAGTATTTCAGCACTCCTCCAGGCCAGCGGGGGGAGCTGCTCAGACGGTGGGGCTTCCTGACGGAGACGGACACTGATAAGCAGAGCTCCACCAGCAAACAGGGCTGATTACACACTCTTATAGCTGTTTTCCCAAAGATGTGCTGGAAGACACATATCAAATAAAAAGGCAGTTTGTATTTGCAATCTCATAATAGTCAAAATTGTGAGATAACTCGCAATTTATTTATTTATTTCATGGCGGAAACAAACTTGCGTATGGTTATTTTGAATTGCGTTCAATGTATTAAGATTCTGCAAGTGTCTCACTGTAATCGCTATTCAACTACAGAGAAAATGTATTATAAATACTCATTTATTTTTGTTTTGTTTTATTTAATAAAACGAAGAGAAATAGGATTGAGTATTGTGTCAAGGGAAAGTACACCCCCAGTGTTCTTTTTGTAATATTTTAATTATTTTATAAATTATCACTAGAGGGCACTCCACGCCAGACTATTGCCACTCAGTATTGGACTTCATTTCCCATCATCCTCTGCCCAGTTTCATCATCACTGACTGATCACAGATGTTTCTCATTAGCTCTTTCCATAAAAGCCTGGTTCACTCTGTTAAACTGCAATGCTGAGCCAATGTGTCTTGTTTTTTTGTTTGTTTCCATTGTAACTGAACAGTTAGTCTGGTAGGAAGGGGGGGTTCACCTGCACCCGAAAGATATATTTTTTTAACCTAGTTTTTTGTAATCCTTAAGGTGTCTAGAAAAGATGTTACCCGCGCAAATTTTTGTCCCATATGTGATTTTTTGTATCATCTTTTGTGTCCGTGCTCGATTTTTGGCTGCGGAAAATGAAAACTTTAAACCTACATAGAATCTGAACAATACATCCTACAGACACAATCTACCCCATTTTCTCTTCGTCTTTGCATGAGGAATTGATAGATATGAGGATTGTCTTGATTAGATGATGTATAGTGCATAAAAACTCAAATAAACACCAAAAAATGTCAAAAAATGGTGACATTAGATCACTGGAACTCCTCCCCTATGGAGCCTTCTGATATATGTTTTCTAACTTTTGCTTTTTACAGTCTTTAGGATGTCTAAGAAGCAAATGTTGATGATCCCCACCTGAAATATTGTCACATGTATGTATGTTCTGGCTATATTGGTTGCCACCCTGGATATCCAAAAAAGCACATTTATAGGCAGTCTGTTTGTCTCCTTTAGTTTTCGATTTGATAAATCTCCTCCATTTTTCATAACTGGCTATGTAAATTATTGTTGAGCACATGTTGAGCTTGTTCCCAATGTTCACTTGTTGCACATTAAAAATATAACATAGATATTTTAATTAAATAATACATTTTAAGATACAACGTGTTCAAAAATATGCATTAATTAAAAATCACATCATGTAATTAGGATTCACTGGTAATGTGAGTTTTTTTTATCATACATTTTTAAACTAACTACACAAATACATAGCCTACACCATGCACCAACACACAATTAGAAAGTGTCACGGTTCTGTCACTACAGTTCTGGTTATTCTTGGTTTTGTGACAGAGCTGTGACATGCCTGGTCTTGTGTTTGTTATGGTCTTGATGGTTGTGAGCACATGGCTATCATGTGATTTCTGTGTGCCATGTGCTCTTGTTAATGTTCTAGCCCCTCCCATCTTGTTACCTCGTTATTGGTTTATTTGTCCCACCTGCTTTCCCTCAATTACCTCCTTGTTTGCCTTCCTATTTAGTCTCCCTGTGTTTGTTGTCTGGTGCTCGTTCGTTGTTAAATGTTACCTGAGTTTTGAGTTGTGTTTGTTCTGTTTCTGCCGTGTTCTTGGATTTTTGTAGTTAGTTCATGAGACCTGGATTTCTTTGTTTTGTTTGTTTGATTTATGTTTTATTTAATTAAAACATTACTTCTCCTCTGCATTTGAGTCCTCGCTCCATTTCCCACAACCCACACGTAACAGAAAGGTCTTTCTTGGTGAAGAGCATTTAGCGTTATGGAAGCCCACATTAACTGGCAGATAATGGTCTCTCCAGGTTTCTGTTAAGTTGAAAAAAAAATTTTATGCTTAATAATTAATTAATTATACTTTCATTATTATTATTATTACTACTGGTGAGGGAATGTGTTTCATCTCGAGTGGGACAATCTGAACAAAATAACAACAAACATTCATGGCTCAAGTGTGGTGAACTGGACCGGTGGGATTATGATACAGGAGGTGAAACCTGAATTTGATGCCCCCAACTCTCTGGAAATTCCACGAATGCTCCCACTCTACGAGTGGAAAAAGACGCGCTCCCTTATGGTAGATATACCTGAGACCCTAAATTCATCATCAAGTCATGATTAGATGATGTATAGTGCATAAACACTCAAATGAACACCAAAAAATGTACAAATAAATCGTGACATTGGATCACTGGAACTCCTGTCCTCAGGACCCTATTGATATATGTTTTCTAACTTTTGTACTTTTACAGTCTTTATGATGTCTAAGAAGCAAATGTTGATGATCCCCACCTGAAATAACTATCCATCATTAAAGTGCATCTGTCCATCATAAAAGTGCATCTATCCATCATAAAAGTGCATCTGTCCATCATAAAAGTGCATCTGTCCATCATAAAAGTGCATCTGTCCATCATAAATGTTCATCTGTCCATCATAAAAGTGCATCTATCCATCATAAAAGAGCATCGAACCATCATAAAAGTGCATCTATCCATCACAAAAGTGCATCTGTCCATCATAAAAGTGCATCTGTCCATCATAAAAGTGCATCTATCCATCATAAAAGTGCATCTATCCATCACAAAAGTGCATCTATCCATCACATAAGTGCATCTGTCCATCACAAAAGTTCATCTGTCCATCATAAAAGTCCATCTGTCCATCATAAAAGTGCATCTATCCATCATAAAAGTCCATCTGTCCATCATAAAAGTGCATCTGTCCATCATAAATGTTCATCTGTCCATCATAAAAGTGCATCTATCCATCATAAAAGAGCATCGAACCATCATAAAAGTGCATCTATCCATCACAAAAGTGCATCTGTCCATCATAAAAAGTGCATCTGTCCATCATAAAAGTGCATCTATCCATCATAAAAGTGCATCTATCCATCACAAAAGTGCATCTATCCATCACATAAGTGCATCTGTCCATCACAAAAGTTCATCTGTCCATCATAAAAGTCCATCTGTCCATCATAAAAGTGCATCTATCCATCATAAAAGTCCATCTGTCCATCATAAAAGTGCATCTGTCCATCATAAAAGTGCATCTATCCATCATAAAAGTGCATCTGTCATCATAAAAGTGCATCTATCCATCATAAAAGTGCATCTGTCCATCATAAAAGTGCATCTATCCATCATAAAAGTGCATCTATCCAACATAAAAGTGCATCCTGTCCATCATAAAAGTGCATCTATCCAACATAAAAGTGCATCTGTCCATCATAAAAGTGCATCTATCCATCATAAAAGTGCATCTGTCCATCATAAATGTTCAATTATTTAAAATGCAAAAAAAAAAAAAA